GATGTGTTTTAAAATCCTTTGAAAAAGTATCCAAAGCATTGCTTAAAATATATGAAATATTGAAAATAATTCACAATACCTGAAAGCCCTTTAAAAATTATAATACATGGATACCTATATCTTCTTAAGGTTTACTAGATTCTGTTTTACAAGAAACTACCAAGTCTTAAGGCTATTCTTTTTCATTTTTCCACCACATATGGCTCAAGCTGAGGGAAAAAATCAAATCTGATTTAAGCCAAATTCATATCCTGCCAAGAACAAGAGCTTTCCTCCATTTGCATGTGTAGACCAGCGGAAATCCGTGTTGCTGTCGGACCAGCATGGGTTCAGATAATGACACCGACCAACTAAAGCCAATAAAACTGGCCGACATTCGCTTCTTTAGTCCCGTTGCCCGTGGCCGGATTGCCATATTGTTCAGATTCGGCACGTGTCCGGGCCACGCACTTGGCCAAATTGCTTTATGGCCACTAGACTGTGGGCCCAGGCCCAGTGGCATATTTACGAGATAAATCGTAAAGGGAATGGTTCCGGAATACACAAAAAAACAAAATTTATAGAAAAATATAACATTTGTTAAATACAATTTGATCTGAAAAGGATTCTAATTAACTCTCAACATTAACCATTAAGTTTGATCATAATAAATTTCTTAAGAAAACCAAAAAATTAGCCTATCTTTTATGGCAAATTAAAAGGATTTAAATTTGTTAATTTTTATGTTATAATTCCTATTTTCACGCTTATATTTTCCTCTGTGCATATGGTTATTTCCCATTATAATGGACGGAAAATATGGAGGAAGCGGACAAAGCCAGGATCCAGACCCAGAACCAGAAACCGCCCCGTCGCATGAGTAATGCCTATGTGTGTGCACAACACATTTCGGCCCAAGGGCACAAAGTGATTTTTGGCAAGCGAAAAGGCGAAATAGCGAATGCGAAATTAAATAGACAAATCGTGTGAAACGGGGTAGAGAAAATACCAAGAGGAGGAGGGACGGCTGGTGTTGTCATTATTAGCCGCTTGCCAACAGAAAAGCGTGGAAAGCCAGGGAAAAGGCCAGTGTGTATGTAAGAGACTTGTGCGTGCCAACGGAAAAATGTGTTGCATACTTTGCTGAGCTACGAAATAAAAACAATAAAAATAATAAGAACGAAATGTAGACTAAAAGCTGCAGCAAAAACAAAAGTGCCAAGTCTGGCACATTAGCGACGACAACTTGTCTGCAACATCGTCGTCGTCGCCGTGGCTCGCAACGCGATAATTAAATTATGGGGCAGCCACAACACAAAGCCAAAGCGACGACGATAGAGGGAAAACCCCCGCTAATATCGCGCTAATTCCGATATGGGATATACTGCATCTAAAACACTGCTGCCCTTACTAACCAAGGGTGATCCGCTTGGCGAGATTTCAAGAGAAATCGTAACTTCGTAATCCACTTTACAAAGTCACTGCTCGTGGTATTATGTGAACTTTCCTCGCGGTGGGAAAACCCTTTATTCTTATATCTTTTGGTAACCGCATGCAAGCTCTGTAATTTGCAAACTGCAAATTGCTTTTAAGCTGCAAACTACTGGTAATTGTTTTACAATTTGTTTCGTTACAGTAAGAACTCACGCTTCATAATGGAATGCCCTTGGTTTTCTTATTGGTTACCGCCATGGTTTGATGAGCAACTTAATTAAAAGGAAGCTATTCTTAAAATTAAACTTTTACTATGAATGTAAAAATATCTGTTAAATAAGAAGGTATTTCGATTAAATAAACTCATTGAAAGATTTTCTAATAGTTACAAAAATTATAACTTTGTCCTTGTTAGTTATAAACCCTTAACTTTTATAGTTAAGATATAGTTTACAGTGTCAAAATATACCCTTAACTTTTATAGTTAATCTATTGTTCAGGGTGTCAATATATTCATTATATATGAACATAAGTTCCAACTAAAAAATTCCATTTAAAAGTTTATATTTCAAGACCTATGCTAAGCACAAAACCATTGGAGTTGATTGTAGATAGCTGATAGAGCCTCAATAAATTACCCAATGAGTCAGTTTTTAAAAGAAAAACTGACTAAGAAAGTTAAACAATAAAGACCTTCCAAAACGCCATTCCCCAGGACGCCATAAAAAATAAACTAGATAGCTAAATTTAGTGACATAAACAAAGTGAATGTTGTAAGAACTGAGTTTGATGAAAAAGCTATTTGCAGGCAATTTCAACGAAATTTTGTAAACAAAGTGTAGGGAACCAGCACACAAGCCCACAAAGGACACCTCCTCCGCGCCGCGACAGACATGAAAATTGAGTATAAAATCAATATATATATATATATATATAGTTATTTTTTGTTGCGTATATATTTTCGATAGAGTTTTCATGTTTCGTGCACTTGTCGCATAACAACAAGAACCTTTCACCAATCGTTAGACAATAAAAAAGTTGACAAAAATAAAATTAAGCTTGTCTGTGTGTTTTTTGCAGAGAGATGAATAAAACGCGAGGCGGATAGAGTGGAGGCACTTCTATGGGGGCTTTTAGTTCAGTTTGGAGCGTCAATAAAGTTGGGCGAAAATATTTGCACAGCGGTTCACAACCGCCGAACGCTTTCCTTTTGTTTGTTGCTTTCCACCTCCCTCTTACTCCCACTCTCTCTCTCTGTTTTATGTTTTATGGGCCGTAAACAAAAGCCCAAATTGAATGTTTGGCGATTGAAAGCCCGAGAGATGGACGAAATCATGCGTTGGAACAACAGCTGGTATGAAGTTCCCATTAAAGAGATGACCATATACGGGGAACCAGTTGCTCTGCCGTGGAAACCAACGTTCTGATATCACGAACAACTAAAGGAAAATGCTAAAAACGATGGCAACAAATCATTAAGTAATGCTTTTTAATACTGCCAGACTGTGGAGTATTTTATCTATTTAAAAAAATGGTTTTTTATGGGATTTTACTGTGTAAAGGAGCTCTTCCTTGTTAGTGATGAACTATCCTTTCCTTGTCTAACATTAACCGGGTGGTTATTTTTTATTTTTTAGAGACAAAAAGGTTTTTTTAGGAGTCAAAGTCCAGATCTTAAGGTCTCCAATTTCGGCTGTGGAGCTCATGTTTACGCAAAAGCCAACCCAAAACAGTTCAGAGGCGAGTGCAGCAGCAAAAAGGAGCGAGTCGGGGAAACCAGTTCTCAATTGCGCTCGACCAGAACGAACGGACACAAGAAGACGCACGTCGCAGGAGGAGGTGGAGGAGCACTAGGAGGAGAATGGGGAGGAAAAACGCTGGCCATCAACAGGTAACCCAGTGCACCTACAGACAACGCTGCACCAGAAGTTGCCTTCGCCATTGCCGTCAACAGGCGCGATTCTGTAGACACCAGGAGTGGAGTGGAGTGGAGTCAATGTGTTTCCCGTCAGCTGCCGTTGCCCTCGGCTTGAAAAGAGAGCTGCTGCTGCTATTGTTGATATTGTTGTTGTTGTTCTGGTTGTTCTTCCACATTTTGTTGCTGTTCTTTTTGTTGTTATTATTTCTGTGTCTGTTGTTTTGACGCCACCAAAAAGAGTTGATCGGGTGAATTTTGGGCTTAGCAAAACTGGTTTAAAAGAGTGCATCCAGTCAACCCATTCAACCCCCTTCTTAATGCTTATTCTCAGCCATTTCGATTGTTGTTAATGCCGTCACGAAAGGGTTAAATGCTTAGATTTATTCGCTTAGGATATGGTTTTATATATGATTGCTCATTGATTATTTGTTGGATTTTTTCAGGAATATTATTTTTAGTTTTTTAATTTTTTAAATTTTAATATTGGGCACCAATTAGTGATCAAAAGAAATCGTCAAAAAAAACACAGAGATCCTTCTTATAATCTTTTAAAAACCTTTGTGTAATGTCTCAACAATGTTTCAACAAAAAACTATGCACTTGAAAGGGTATTTCCAGTTTCGTTTCTTGCCACACAAGTTCCCTCAATTTCTTATTGTTTTGACTTTCGCAAAGAGCAGGGAAACCGAGGAAGTGGTTTTTCCTGCCGTACCTGTATGAGTTTCCCTTCTTTTTGCTGCTTCTCTTTTTACACTCTATTTCTCTATTCTCGGATTTTTTTTAAGGACAAAGAAAATGCAAGAGATTGCAAAGTGTGGAACTTGTTCCTGATCCTGGAGGGGTTGCAAGGAGCTCAGAAAATGGGAATCTGAGAATTTCCAGGAATAAGGTATTAAAGGAGGCAGAGCAAGGGAAAACAATAATCGATATGGCATCGGAGAGCGAGGAATGCACGTAATTAAAGGGAAACGGATAGGCCAGGTCCCGGGGTAGATTGATTACGTCGAGAATCTCAGCTCTCCTCCTCGGAATCCTCTCCTCTATCCCTTACACTTCGCTCCGCCGCTTTGTTCCTTGGTCACGTCCTCGTAATTGCCAATAATGACAAGATGCGCTTCAGAAGGAAAATTCAATTTACATGCCGTAGCAGAGCAAAAACGAGGTGTACACAAAATTAAATTACAGGATGACCCAGGAATAGGCCAAAGGTGATACCACAAAAATGTTTAAAAAAATATATATATCCTTTAATTAACATCTATATATGACTTGTATTCCCGCTTCTTTAAGAATAATAATTATTGTTACAAATTAAATTATCCATCCTATTAATAATAAAAAAAAACCTTTTATAAATCCTTTGAGCAGTATAAATAGAAAACTAATATAAATGAGACAATTTTAAAGCCTCTCCTTAAATATTCTCTATGAAAATATTATATTTAAATTAAAAACAATATGGAATCGTAAAACAAAATAACATTTCCACAAAAAGTAAGTCCAGTTTAAATTACAGGTTGACCCCCCTGGGCGAGAACGCTTATGAAATATGCCAAAGGTGACTTTCAATTAAATGCCACCAGCTGGCTTTTTTCTCTCTCCTTTCCTGTGTTTGTTTGTTGTGTGTTTGATTTCATTTGATTTGGATTGTTTTTGTTTCTACACTTACCTGCCGGGAAGAAATTGTTCAAGAACGTTGACATTTTTCTCTCTCGCTCCCGCTTTCGTCCGTTCCTCTTTTATCTCTTCTTTGCCCGTTTCGCTTACACTTTGTTTTTGTTTTCGTTTATAAAGTGCACTAAGTATAATCGTGTATATTCTTTTTTTTTTTTTGTTATTCTTGGTTTTTTTCGATTTTTTTGTTCGATTTTTCAGTTTTTTTTTTTAATTAATACGTAGGAAATATTCAAACAAAAAATTAAAATAATACATACAATCCGCGCTTAACTTCTAAAATTCACATTACACATTTTCACATCGTACGTTTCGATTATATATTTATGTATTTTTTTTTTTAGTTTTTTACGAAAGTTTTATCAGTTCTTTGCGATTAAAATGCATTTTCGGGCAAATGAGGTTATTAACAATTGAGGCGCGTCGACTGTGAAATGGGAAAAAGAGAAAAATACAAGGGAATTTAGTACACTATATATAACAAATATAAAGGAAATAATTATTTATTTGTAATATGTTTTTTATACTCGTAACCCCCCTCACGCTTTATAACCCGTCACTGACACTCACACGCACGCATTGCGTGGGCCAAACATATAACGGTGAAGGAAACACAGTTCTTTTACATTTGTTGTGCGTACACTGTTTGTTTTTGCAAAAAGGGCGACAAAATGAAATCCAAAAAGCAACAGCACATTAAATGGAGTGAGTGGGACGGGTGCTGCTGCTGCGTAGGTGTGTGGGACGCTTTTTTACACATATACAGGCACAATTGCGCGCATATTTGTTTTACAGCTCCTTCCATTTCTTTTTGCGCTCTGATTTATACACTTTTCACAAGAAGTTTTTCATATTTATAGAGTTTTATATTTAATGTCCACCAACACAGCACAAACACAGTCACAAAGGCCTGAACCTGCTTCAACATATTGCCAAGAAAATCTGTCTGCCTGAACGTTTTCCAGCGAATTTCTGGTGTTTACTTTCTTAAAATATCTACATTTTCTAGGTAAACGGCGGGGGATTAACTTAAATAATATAGACGGTACGTTTTACTAACTTTCAACGATTTTGCAAATAAGAAAAACACACACAAACACACAGCGCGGCGCTGCACGAATGAAAGGAACGCAAAGAAGATCCAACAGCCAAGCCAAATGGAGTCCACAAACAACAACAACAGTGGACGCACACCATCAAATGAAAACAAGCCTAAAAGGACGTCGGGAAAGTCGAAACTATAATACCCTTCTTGCTGCTCTTTGTATTAGATTGTTTTGATTTTCAAATGTCAAAACTATGGAAATTTATCATATCAAAGGAAAATTATTAAAATAGGTAAATAAATATTACGGAATGGATTTTTTTTATAATAAATGTATAATGAATTCGTTATTTTAGTTAGGGGTTTTTAAGCTGAACGATTAAGAAAAGGTAACAGGATTTACAAAAAATATTATAATTTTAATAATATTTGGAAATTCAAATAAAAGTAAAAGGGTTAATATTTCTTTTTTATATAAAATTGCTGCGCCTCCTCTAGTACGTCAACTGTTATACCCACTGCCAGGGTATAACAACAACAATTGCCAGCTGTGGTGCAACACACGGAATCCCTGTATTTTCGGAGTGGTGGAAAATCGTCTGCGCCCAAGTAGCCAGGATATTTAGCAGGACATAATGTCACGAAGCCCTAGCAATTGGCGTTGTTATACACACATACACGCACACGCAAACACCACACACACATGTGGGAAATCGGGGGAGTTCAACAGGACCCAACAGCTGGCCACAGGTTGCATTCCACATAGAGAAATGTGGGAGCCCCAGAATGCCATCCACACTCCAGCCATATTTGTGGAACGCGAAACAGCTGGGCTGCAAAGGGGTGGGGGGTGAAAAGGGACCGAAGGAGGAAGGAAAAGCGAAACGAAGAAGCAGGGGAAAATGCTGAGAACATTTTTACTCGTTTGTTTTTTTTTTATAAGTATGGAGTGAGAACAGCTGGATTAGTTTTCGATCGGTTTATTTGTTTAATAGGGATTCGCAAAACTTCGCTTTATTGCTCTCTCCTCTCGCTTTTCGCCTTCGTGCGGCATTGATTAACGATTATTAATTGGAGTAACGAAGCATGAACGCAACTTTCCACACAACCAAATTCTCGTTTTTAAGACGCAATTCGGCAAAAGGTGCGTTTGCAGAGGTAAACGCCAAGCAAAAACTGTATACCGTATATATCTTTGCTAACAAACACAAAAAGATTATAATTTTTGACCACCTTTTTTCTGTTTCTTTTTTGTTTAATTTCTGCCGCTGTTGCACAGACACTCACACAGGCACAAACACCACACACACAACGCCACAAACAATGCCGTTTACTTGCCGTCTCGGTTTTTTTTTTGCGGCTAAAATCACTGGGGTTACGAGTTTGCCCCAACTTACAGGGCGCCAGGTGATTGCACACTCCCCGGGTGACATTTTGACCAGTTTGTGTACAAGTTTTAGACAGAAACAATAACTAATCCTTACATATTTCCTTAAATTTTACTCGCATCGTAAATATCACTCGCAAATATTGAGTGTATCAGTGTTACCAGGTGAAAATTTTGCTTTGGCATTAAAAAGTTCCACACATTTCCGCTTTCGCGGCTCTGGGCACACTAAAACGAAAAAGCTAAACTTAGCTGGAAAAAGATAGTCTAGCTACATAGCTAGAAATCTGAATTCAGATGTGGTTTGAGTCTAGGGGAAACGTGGATTTTTTAGGGGATTTTAACTTTTTGAGATTTTTGATGTAAGTCTCATCTGCAGATACCCTATAAATACAACTGCTTCCGTTTCGATTTGTTTTCTTTCGACGAGTAGCGCAGGCATAAACGTATTTTAATTAAATATATAAAATATATATATCGAGTGGTGGGCGGAACAAGGCAAAAACAAAGTTTATTATTTAACTTTAGCGAGTGGTCTTGTTCTCGGAGGAAAAGTGGTTCGGAAAATTGCAGGAAAGAACTGGGCAAAGTGCCGTTTAAACAGTGTTGGTGGGAGTGAACGGAGGCAGAGAAAAGAATAATAGAGAAAATTATAAGCGCAAGGTTAGCCATGTCGACGGTGGAATCTTCCAGTTCGGCGGTGCAACAGCCGCCTTCCTCGACGCTTCCGCTTCTGGGCGACTCCGTGATGCAGGCCTCCACTTCCAGCGCCAGTTCCTCCTCGTCCTCGTCCGCCTCCTCGCAGGGCGGTGGGCAGGGCGGTAACCCTGTGGGCGTGCCACTGGATACCCAGAGCAGCGGCGAGCCGCCCTCAAAGAAGCAGTTGCTCGACGGGGCATCGAGCAGCTCCGGGGGAGGTGGCAGCGGCGGGGGTGGCGCCTCCTCGCTGTCGAGCGCCGCCGCCGCAGCTGGAACGCACGAGAAGCTGGCCTACCGCATCTCCACAGCCCTTTGCTGCGCCGTCTGCCTGGATCTGCCCAAGACGGCCATGTACCAGGTGAGTTCTTGCAGGGAGCGAACTGCGTAGTCGACGTGTCCTGGGCCCGTGCCTCCCCCTCTTCGATAAAAACCCCCCCTGAAAACGAAACGAAATGAAATGCCTTTCTTCTGTATACAAACAAATCGTGACAGCTCAGCTGTAACCAGTGAATCCACCACCACTCCTCCCCCATGCCTGTGGCCCCCATTACAGACAGCTGTGCGAGAGAGCGGGACGGATAGTGGGGCTGCTCTTGCACTCGCCTTGAAAACATTGCGCCGCAAGCGAGCGAGCGCAGCATAAGAGAGCAGGCTGGCCTTGTCGCACTCACGGCCACTATGCAGTTTTATTGCGTTTTAGAGAAACGGCTTGAAATCAACCCTCTTACTTTGAACCGTTGCATTTGCGAGTGAATTATGGCCCCCGCCTCCTCTTTCGCTGACCCCCCTTCTTTTGCGCAGTAACATTTACTGCAGATTTTCTGTATTGCGTCATAGAAACCAGCAAACATTATGCTTAGGACCCAATTTTTTCTACAAATCTATTAAAGGGGGAGTGTGCCGTGCCCTATTTTTAGCAGCGCAAATTAAGGCCAACAACGGGAATTCAAAGCTTTTTATTCTCGATGTTTGCGTATACAGTTTCCTCTCTCAATTCATTCAGCTTTTTAGGCAAATTCTCGCATTCTTTTTCATTCACGCTTATGTAGGCGTCGTCGTCGTCATTGTTGCTGAAACTGACAATTGATTGAATTTAATGCAGACATGCAGGGGCGGGGGAAAGGGGGTTTCGGGGCGTACCCCTCATGATATGTTGCCTGAAGAATATTCAGCAACAATTCGATTACATCTAAAAACTTCATGACCCCCACAGACCCCCTTGATTCTACGCCACTGCAACCGACAGATCTTTACGTAAGGCGTGTATGCATGTGTGTGTTGACATTGCTCTCTCTCTCTAACACACCTACTTGCTTTGAGCAGCGATAACTGCGTCATTGAAATTGGTTTTGGATTACAGTAAGAAAAGAGAAAAAAAAAAAGTGCTGACCCACACAGGAAAATATCAAATGCCAACCGACGAAAACCCACTTTCTGTATCCCACAAAAAACGTGACCGAAAACAAAATGAATCATACAAAATGGAGCGGAGTTCGCAGAAACCCGCAGAAACTATTAATTAGCTAAAGAATCCCAGGAAAAAACACGATTGTTTTCCTTTTTTGCATTTCCACTTCTTTTTTATGGCCGCGCTTGTATGCATGTGCCTACACACACACACACTCGCACGCACCCTGCGATTTTTGCTCTCTGTTATTGTTTTGCTTTTGCTACGGCATTGCGTTTTTGTTGTTGCTGCTGCGTCGTAATACACATGCGTTGTGCTCTCGCCCGAGTCGTGGCAAAATCAGCTGTTTCGAGACCCCTGGGGAAAATTTTTAGATATTTATTTTGTTTTTATTCTAAATATTGAATAGAAAAATATAGAGAAAAACTAGGCATATTTGTGATGTGTAGCAAATGCAATGCCAGCAGTTTTTTGATTATGTATTTTTGTGTGGAATCAGCTTGGTGCAGGTTGAGACCTGTGATCTGGAATAAACTCGTTTTACCAGTTTTTCTCAGCCTTAAGTTCTATGCGATGTGTACTTTTTAGGTTCTCCAACGTGCGAGTATATTTACGAGTGTGTGTGTGCGAGGAAAGGTACAAATACCTGAAAACACACTCCAAACCCACCTGAATTTTTTGTCGTCGTCGTTGATCTTTAGCGTGATTTCCTCTTTCCTTTTTTTTTTTTTTCTTACCTACTGTTGACGTTCTCTTCCTCTTGCCCCATTCTTACTTATCTACAAAAACACCATCAGCTGGTTTTGTTGTGTCTGCGACGCAAGTGCAGGCAGCAGAAGAGAGAGGGCAAAAGAGAGAGAGAGAGAGAGAGCGAGAGTTGTGATATATTTTTGTTCCGTGTGTATTATTGTTATCGATGGGGAAAAACGAGTTAAACTCCTTTGTGGTTTCGTGGATTTTCCATTAAACAATCAGATTGTTAGGCAGCAAGCAGCTGGTGCTGCCGTAGTTAGTCTAGGTCATAAATTGCCAATCAAAGAACACGAATTCACGGGTTCATTCAACTGCCAAGATACACAGTAAATGTGCGCTCAGATAGATGCTCTCAAAAACTCAGATGCAGATACACAAAGAACACACAGAGGGAAAAAAAGGCGATTAGAATGCACTTATAATGCAAGATCAAATCAAGATTTACTAGACCTGACCTAAAAAATAATTAAAGATTAAGAAATAAAACATTTTTAATATTAAATTTGTATTTTGTGTTGATAAATCCATTATTTAATGATAATAATTTTACTATTAGTTCAAGAGCTTAATGTTGTCTTATCAAAACCTGGGTTTTCCCTATTAGCTGATTTTTAGATGCACACAAATTTGAATATATCAAAGAAATCCGTATATTTTAGTTTTAAAAAGTGTGTATATCTAGATTCCAGACAATCTCTCTTTCTCTCGAGTAAACATTTTTGTACTGTGCAAAAGATATACACGCGTGCGTGTGTGTGTGTGTACAGGCACCAAAAAAACAAATGAAAAGCCATCGCTTATCGCTCCGGGTCCGTCCACAAATAGTGCTCCTTGTTGGGCCACGCTGGCTAATTCCCAAAATAGAGACAAAAATTCCAAAATGAGGGAAGAGCAGGCCTGGGCCCGGCCCGGCCCGCATTCCGATTTGTAAATAAATGCATGCGGCGACAGCAATGTCGATGCAGATATAGTAATGTTATAATGAAGGCTCCTCGGGGGTTACATTTCACTTCGTCGAGTCACGCTCGATTGGATCTCTCTCGGGCTCTCGACTTTGGACGCGGTATTATCTGGCCGAAGCGACGTACTTATGTATACCATAAACTATATACTATATAAACCATGCATATATCCGTTATCGGTCCACTATGCCAGACCTTCTTTTTCATCAATTGCTTGACAAACTCATGTCTGAAAATCAAGTGAAAAACACATGCATACAAAACAGATTTAATTGGCTCTCAAAAAAAGAAAAGAAAAAAGTAAAAACATGAAAAAAAAATATATAACAGAATATATATTTACAAACCAACATATACACGATATAAGAATGCTAAATTTAAACCAGAACTATTCTTATTATTTTCATTTTGCTGCAGCGCCTTATTTAGATAAACTTTAACTATCTCTCTATCTATTTAATGATTAATCTTAGTTAAGACAATAAACTCGATTTCGTAACCTTTGTAAGCACACGCAAAAAAAAAAAAAAAACTAAAACAAAAAAAGAAAAACCTGAGATTGTAATTGTAAAAGCTAAGTACATAGAACCGATTTCATCCATATAGCATTAAAGTTAAACCCTGAAATGTATTTTAACCAAAATGAAAACACAAAAAAGAAAAACGAGAAAAAATGAATTCAATAAATTTGCAAAGAAGAGTGCGAAACTTGAAAATGCAAAATAAAACCAAACCAACAACCATAGCGTTTTTATTTCAACAAAAAAATATGAGAATATACAAACTGGATCTCCAAAAGCTAAAACATTTTCAGACCTCTTCAGAACTCTCATCCTCTCCCACTGAGAAATCCATATCCACTCATTCCATTTTCCTCCAAAAAAAAATATATATAAACCAAAAATAGACTCATTCATATTCAAAACACCACAAAAGCCACCACCCACACAACACTCATTTCCATATCTCCAACAAGCTCTCTTTGCAAACAAGGCCGTATTTTTGACTAATAGCAAACTTTTCTTCTTTTTTCTTTAATTGCAGGTTAATTATCATTCCACTATTTTGTTTTAGTTATCAAATCTCTATCCATCTACCGATAAACAATTGCCTTAGATATGAAATTATTAAAATCACCTTTCCCTTTCTCTCTGCTCCTTTCACTTGCAGTGCCAGATGGGACACCTGATGTGCGCCGCCTGCTTTACCCACCTTTTGGCGGATGGACGGTATGAATTCCCTCTAACACCAACCTAAATAAAAGGAGAAATAGCCACCTCTAAACTCAAACTTGTTCTTTACTCTAACACCTTTCCAACGGTTTATTTAATGTTTATTTATTTAGCCTACGCGATCAGATTGCCACTTGTCCCAACTGTCGCGTGGAGATATCAAAGAGCACAGCTTCACGCAACCTGGCCGTGGAGAAGGCTGCATCCGAATTGCCTAGCGAGTGTCAGGTATTAAAGCCTTGAATATCTTATACTTTATATAATTAACACTTTTTTCGTAATAGTTTTGCAACAAAGAATTTCCATACAAGTCACTCGAACGCCATGAACAACACGAGTGCCAGGAGCGACCCACAAAATGCAAATACCATCGCATCGGTTGCCAATGGCGGGGACCCTTCCATGAGAGTATGATTATTTTCCATCATTTCTAAACTTCATTAATTAACCACAAATTTTCCATTTAGCTACCGAACACGAGAGGAACTGCTTGCATCCACAGAAGTCTGGCCACGAGGTCATGTTTGCCCTGGAGGCACACGATGTCATGATCAAAGAGGAGAAAAAAATGTTCAACACCCTGATTGACTTGCTGAGCTACGAGAAGATTATATTCAATGGTGAGTAATGGTTTTAGGCCTCTAATTCCTTAATGGAATTGAAGATAAAGTACTTGATAAATGCGGGTAGTGTAAAAAAGGCCCGCAGTTATGGTTTGAGGAAGTATTTTTCCCTTAACTGATAAAAATAGTCCCAGATAAATTACATTTTTTAAAGTTAGCTTAGGATGAGAAATGCGAGGCCAAATTCAAAACCTCAACCCATCTCGCTGCATTATATATCTAGTTCTAAGTTTAATAATTTTATCGTTTTCATTGCAGATCTTCAGATGAAACCATACCGAACAGACGAGTACGTTCATAAATTATTTTATGAGACGGCCCGCTTCTCGGCCTTCAACCAGCAATGGGTGGTGAAGGCGCGCATTAACAACAGCCAGCGCGATCCGCATCAATCGAACGATCGGACCATCACCTACCAGCTAATCCTGAAGACCAAGACCAGCACGCCCATGAGCATACACTTTTTTGCGCTCAAGGGACCGTTTTCGGATATGAAAGTTTCGACTCAGATATATCAGCATTACTTCACCGAGACGGTGAGTTAAAAATAATCAAAATAAGAACAAATTTAGAAATTCTTTACTTTCCAGAGTACCGAAAGTGATTACTATGTCCTGCCGCTGCCAGATGGCATCGGCGGCACTGGCTCAAGTGAATGCAACCGTATGCTGGCCAACAAAGGCATTAACTTCCGGTGAGTAATGATCCTTAGGTGTTCTTTTAAAGCAAATTATCTCACTCCAAACTCTTGTTTCTTTGCAGCCTGCTCATGTTTTTGCTAAACAAGTAAACACACGCGTATAAAGATTTTCAAATTTAGCTTAAGTTTGTTGTTTCAAACTCTTGAATGTGCAAAAACCGAAAAAAAAAACAAAAATCGACCTAGAGTTAGTTGATATATTTTCTATGAATGTATATGTATAATTTCGCGCCCGTCAGAATACATTTTCAATCGCGATTACCCAGACATAACGCGGTAGGTTGTAACCCAAGCTTAGAGACGACTAATGTGTAGGATTCACCCACATTTTGTACATGATTATGATGATATCTATAAAGCCATTGTATTTGGGACTCTTTTTCAATAGCTATGTTAATTTTTGCTGTTCGTGAAGTTGAAATGAATCGCAGACAAGACAGCCGATGTGTGTTTGACTAAAGTTTTAAAATGATCTCACAAGTAAGGAGCCAACCACACCCAGCTAATCCCGATAATACCAATAACCAATAAAATAGCTGTAGATTAACACTACGGACGCATAGAGATCCTTCGAGTTCACAAGCTCCGTATTTTCACTGTAAGAAGAACAACACCAAGTTGACGACATTCGAAACTATAAACCCGGCATATGCATATATATATCTACGATACATACATATTATGATGTAGCTCTAGATTACAAAAATCACACAGAAAAAGCCCCGCTAATGGCAAAAACAAATGCAGAGGCCCAAAATAATACAAAACTTCGAGTTCACATTCAAATCTTGTCTAATTCTAATCGCGTTCTGTTAACCCTCGATTTACGATTTAATGCTTAAACTTACATTCGTACGTGTAATATTTAAAATGCATCGTTAAATGATAACTATACCTAATGCATATATAATAAAGATACATCTTAATAAAGAAATCAATTTTGTGTTTTTTCATTGGGGATATAAGAAGGAAATGTAATCAAGATTTTATAGATACAAAGGAAATATCAATATTAAAAATATATTTAACTTTGGTATGTCACTAGATATGCTTGTTTAACTTTAAAATATTAATACCATCGAAAATATTGATTATATTGGTTTGGAGTATCGAACAGAATGCTAAGTTACATATGTATATCGAAAAAATCGATTATTTCTAAACTTAACAATTAATCGAACTAAATCGAACAGTTAAATAATTAAAATTATATATTTATATTTTGTTCATGGTTTTGCTAATTCAATGACTTGGAACTTATTTTATTTCCAGCTCTAATATTTTAAACTTTACCGTCAAATATAGATTGTATATCTTTAGTCAGGACTATTGAAGAGGTTTAATCCAGGTCTCTAAAACAAAGACTTCTTAAATAAATAAATAAAATAAAAGGCCTTGTTTGCTTTAACCAAATATATATTAAATATATTTTTTAAAAATTATGTATCATAGTTAAAAATATGATTTGCTGTAGGTTTTTTAGGCACATAAACGACTAATTTTTCTTTAACACTACAAATTATGTGTTCTAAAAATATTTCTTACAAAAAATTAAATTACAAAATTGTGGTTTTTGGGCGGGCATGACACATATTTGTAAACATTTCCCCTCGACTCCTATTCATCGTTCTCATCCTCCATCGCCTCGTACTTGTTGCGCACATGGGCGGCGATGACTTCGCGGGGATTCTTTTTAAAGTTCTTATCCTTGATGACCTTCTCGAAGGACTTGACGCGATTAACCAGCTCCTTGCGCTTCTTCCTTATCTTCTCGTTGGCACTGAGTGGGATTTCTGGAGCAGTGAGCACTGTTTGCTCGGTGGCATCCTTTTGTTTTATCCGCACCAGCTTGTACATGTCCTGCAGCGAGGGCAGAGCATCCCGCAAGGGCTTCAGGTCCCCGATCACTTTCGTCTTCTCTCGATTCTTGCGAGCCACCTCCTCCTTGTGCTCCTTCCGCGTTTCGGCAAAGCGCTTGATCAGTTTCTTGTGCTTGGCCGCCGACTTTTCCTTTTTGGTGGTCGTCTTTTTGGGCGTGAGTGTTTTGTGAAGCAACTGCTCTTGACGTAGCTTGGCCTGCACCTCCTGGGCTTTCTGTTTGGCTGCACCCACCATGCTCTTGGCCTTGGCCCTCACATTTCGCTTTGTTTTTGCCATTTTAATAGAGAATTTATTTCAAAATAATAACAAACGTGCAGCGTGCCAAGAACCAATGTCACCACATCTACTGGTATTGCAGCAAAAACATCGAAGCTTTATCGATAGTATCGATAGGTTTTGTTTATTTAATTTAAACATCCATATTTCATTTATTTTAAATTAAACAAACGAAAATTGGCTAAAATTTAAATAAATTTGATTACACTCTTTTAATCTTTGGTTTATTAGATAAACAATCTGGTGTTCATTGCTCTCCCACCGATGGCGCTCACCTCTTTGACTCGGCATTTCCCCTTTAAAATGTTTCGGTCACACTGGCACAGCAAAATTGCTATTTTTCGAATTTGTTGACGGTCGCAATGGTTGGAGGTGTGGGCGAATTTGTGTCCGAGTACCTGGATCGGGGCTTGGTCCTTGTGATCGCTGATTTGCTTAGCCTAATCACGGTCTCCTCCTGCCTGGTGATCAAGGTGCCTCAGATAAACACAATCCGAGCCAACGAGTCCTCGAAAGGTGAAAGCTTCGCCCCCGCAGAAAAATCCTCCCACTCACAATCTCTTTTGCTGGACAGGAATCAGCGTTCTGGGACTGTGCCTGGAGCTGTTTAGCTACACGGTGATGCTGTCGTACAACTACACCAGTGGCTACGACTTCCTTTCTTATATGGAATATCCTGTTCTGCTGCTCCAGGAGTACGTTCTCATTTTCTATGCCTTCAAGTACCAGGATTTGCTGGGCAAACGGACCCAGGTGGTGGCAGTGCTGTATGGAATTGTGGTGACGCTCATCTATCTGAAGCTCTTCCCCATTATCATCCTGACGTTCCTAGTGGTGAGTAATCCTCAGGCCCAAGATATCACCTGCACTGTGTCATTCGTCGTTGCTGATTAGGTTGGAAGCATTCTTTAGCCAGATAACGACTTCAAACCCGTTTCGCTCTTAGTTATTTAATTAACTAATTATGTTTTGAAGCGGAGTAAACGGGTTTGATTTGTTTTGTTTTGATTTTTTTTGTAGCTTAGAAGGGCGGACGCAGATCTTAACTGGGCAAAGCATCTTTGTCCCAAGGTCACCGGTGTTTTGTTGTATAATATTTGAGCGGCTATTAATACCCGGCACGGCACTCTCTTGCCATTTGACCAATAAATTCATATATATAGCTCGACATTCATTCCTTTGTTTGCTTTCTCTTTAGCCTTTCTGCACGCCAATTGGGGCCACGAGTAAGGTGCTCCAGCTTCTGGCCATTCTGCGGACCAAGGATGCCAGTTCGGTCAGCCGCACCACTTGGGCGCTGTCTGCCTTCACCAACATGAGTAAGATCACCACTATTAATTGGGTTCAAGTTCACCAGTTGACCTGCAATCTACTCTTTCTTACAGCCCGCATATACACAGTCTTCTTCCAATCGCACGACTGGATGTTGCTGTCCAACTTCCTGATTTCAACGTTCCTCAGCGCTTCCGTCTTCGCTGCCGCCTGCTTCTACAAGAAGAAGACGCTTAAGGCGGACTAGAAAAGCTCAACATAGACAATACTCAACAATTCTTATCAGTCATTTGTTTTTAATTCTATTTGCTTATCTGTTTAAATTTTTAAATTGATATTACAAATTCTGTATTGGTTTACCTCGTTCAGCCTCGTTTAACTTTCTGCGTAGAATGCCACAGCAATGGCTCCTAATACAGTGAGCAAGGATACTGCGTAGATTGCGTAACGCTGCCAGTCAATCTTGGTCTTGGTGGGGCCCACGTCCACAGTCTTGCGTTCCTTGTGCTTGCGCTTGCCAAACTTTGCCTCAAACTTCTCCAGCTCCAGGCGGTTGCGCTCCTCCTCGTGTCGACGCTTCTGCTCCAAATGCTGTTGCTCGGCCGCCTGGGCGCGGGTTTGCTCGGCCGTGCAATGGGAGTCGCATTCCAAGGATGTTTGCCCGGCACGGTGCTTGTCGCAGGCAATTTCCTGCTTAAGACGCTTGCAGGCGCAGTAAATGCGAACCTTTTTGCGGCAAAGCTCGGGATTGGGACACTTGCCGGAATGGCAAATGGCAGTGCAGCGATGGCCGCAATTGTACTAAAAAAAAAAGGTGACAAAATAAAATCATATCATCTATTGCACTATGGTCCAGAATCCGTTTTTTTTGGCATAAAGTCGATTTTTTTATGTTAATATATCGTTGTTTTCTTATTTTAATCTTAAAGTAAATTCATCATACGTTATAAAAATGTTAACTAAAAGCTTTAAATGTGCCACCAAAGCCTATTGAGAGCTTTTAAAAATGCGATTGCGATCAGCTCATTTCCGAATAGAAATTCGCGCCAAAATATTTAGTTACTTTATGTTGTGTCAGACGTGTTATTTTGGTTCAAAAAAATTAACTAAAATATGGAAAATAATCTTCAAGGTATGCACTATTTAATGTATATTGTAATTTTTTGTGTAGTTCTACGTATTTAGTGTTGTGTAATGTCAAATTTATGTGTATGTTTTTAGAAAACTATCATGCGTTCTCCATGTTTCGTGGAGTATAACTAATAAGCTTCTCCATGCTGACAGCAACTAATTGGTCCAGATTGTACTCCTGGATGTTGTCTTTAACCACAAACAAAAAACTCATCCCCGTTCGTCCCCCTTTTCTAATATTTTGGTAATATACATAGTTTATTCACAGCGAACTTTTTAAATTATGGAGCAGCAACAATCGAAAAATTCAATCTGTATCGAAGTGACTATGCACCAAAATTAATAAAGACACTGTGAAATACAAGAAAATGAAGGAAATAGATTAAAAATGCAGTAATTTTTATAGTGATATTCATAAATATCTTCCCAAATGTAAATACGTTCTTGAACGGTTAATTTCTTCCAATAATTCTAATTATAAATTCGGAAAAATATCTCTCTTTTTTTTAAACAACTTTTTCATTATATATGCGTTAATTATGTATATAATAAATGGTAATTATGTACATATATAAAAATTATAAATTAAATATCAATCAGTTTGCAAGGGCGGCAAGAGTGGGCGTGGTCGTACTGGCCCAATTTTTTGTACACAAGTTGTTAATGCCACAACAATAAAATCTGCGAAGTTTAAACCCTGTAGCTCCATTTTTCGACTTTATGCCAAAAAAAACGGATTCTGGACCATAGTGTATTGGATGATTAAAGCTACCAAAAACATTACTTACATTCTTTAAGCATCGATTTCCGCAGCTGCGTAACTTTTCCCGGCGCTCCACAATCTCCTGGACCGTGCCCGTCTCATCGTAATACTCGCTGCACTTGTACACCGACTGATTCAGACCGCAATGGCACTTGCTTTTGATCACAAAATTACAGGGCATACAAGGCGGCGGATGGCAGCCCTTGGGACAGGCATGAACACAGCCGGCGGGTCGGGGAACGGCACAACCTTCCTCACAGCTGGCACAGCCAGCTTGCTGTTGCATATCGTCTGGTTTTGGCACTGAGTGGCAGACCAGCGAGCATTTGTGATTGCCGCACTTGAGCTGCCGGGCACACTGACGCTGACAGGAGCTAGGCTTGGAGTTCCAACAGGGCCAGGTGGCTACCTCATGGCCACCAATGCAGGTGACCACCACGCCTTCTTCGCAACGGGGATGGGGTTGAGCTTTGTATTCATACTATAATTTTGTTGTTTAATTAATTTCAAGTAGTAAAAAAGTAAATTAAGCCTGGAGCTCACCTTTTTGGCCTGTGGTCTGCCATCTCCTGGCTTATTAACCCGCACAGCTTCATGACAGCGAGCCTTACATATGTGTCCACACTTGCTGTTGTCGTTGGGCAGGCCGCACATCTGGCCACAAGGCGGGCACTCGGACTTGTGGCATTTATGCTTAATGGCATGGTGACATTTGGCAGAAATTCTACAAGAAAAATAAATTAATATTTTAAAGAAATTCCAAGTAAAGGGAAAACCCTACCGGCAAAGCTCCAGACACACAATGCGTGCACTCTTCTCTCTTCCACAGGGAACACTGCGTTTGGTTTTGCCACAGCGGCAATTGATTTGGGACTCTAGCTTGCAGGGATAACAGGGTCCATTGTGGCAGACAGACTGGCATTTGTGCTTGTTGCAGCTTAGCTGCTTGCCGCAGATCTTCTCGCAAGGCGGGCACTGATCCCCGCAGCACTAAAATAGAATATTTCCTTGCTATATTGATTAGGAAAATATATATAAATAGCTTTTACCTTTCGGTTACAGGCATGCTTGCCACAGTCCCTTAATTGTTTACATTTGGTTTCGCAGGTAAACTCCTTGGAGCAGGGCAACTCCTTTTCATGCAGGCCGCAGCGGCATTTCTTTTTGGTTCGCACTGGGCACTAGCATAAACAAGATTTCATTAATTTACTTTATGTAATTATTTTCATTAAAAAAAGCAAAACTTACCGAAATGCAGGCACCGCGATGACAACGCTGAGTGCAAGTGTGCTGGCCGCAGGACAATAGCTTTTGACAGGTATCCCCGCAAGTTTCTTCCGCCTCATTGCAGGGTCTAATTTGAGTCTAAAAATTAAATTAATTAGTGTTAATTTATGGTTTTTTTGAGAGCTTAAGTAGACATACATTCTTGCCGCAGGGACAGCTACGGACTTGCAGGGGACACTCGCCGTGGTCGTTGGAACTAGCATGGCAAACCTTCTCGCAGATGTGCAGACCGCAGGCAAAGGGGGCACCACATACCTAAGGGGATTTTGAAATATTATTATTAATTATTAATTTTTGAGGCTAAAGATTTCACCTACATTCTGACACTTCCATTTGCGATCGGAGCAGTTGACCATCTTGGACTCTCGCCGACATTCGCAGGGCTGCAGGCTCTTGCTGGTGCAGGGTGGACATTGTCCTGGGCGATGGCATACCTGATTACACTTGTGTTTGCCGCAGGCCAGCAGATCCTTGCACTGTTAAGAGGTTTTATTATTATTATTTCAACTATTATCCCCTAGTTAATACTTACCGCCTGCTGGCACCGCCACTGCTTGTCAATGCACCTCATTGAACGGGGACTAGACTTGCCGCACAAACAGGAGACCTGCGCCTGCTGGGCACACGGAGGACATGGCCCCGGATGGCAAAGCAACTTGCAGTCGTGCCCACACTTTGGCTGCAGCAGTTTTCCGCAGATCTCGCCACAGGAATGTGGCACTAGGAACGGCTGCGATGGGGGATTCAATTCCTTGCCGCAAAAGCAATTGTACTGTGTGGGCTTCTCCGCCGGCTGATAGTCCCTGCGGCACTGGGGGCAGCACCAGTGTAGGGATTTCTGGCGCTTTGGTGGCACAAACTCGCCCAAATGATTATAGTGACCCTGACCATTGTTCTGCTGCTCCGCCGCCTTGACCTTCATCTGCATCATGCTGTCGTTGGCCCAGCGCTGGATGCAGTTCAGGTGAAAGAAGCAGTAGCAGCTTTCGCATGACCAGATCGCCTCCACGCGCCGAATGCTGCCAATGCAAATGAGACAAGTGGCCGCTCCCGAGTGCAGAGTGTTCTCCAGGAATGTGCTTGTGCGGGCCGCGGCATCCTTGGAGCTGCCCAACGTCTCCGATGGTTTGTAGTGCTTGTAGAGCAGATCTGAAGATATGAAGGAGATAACAAAGAAATAGTTTAAAGCTTTTGGTATGACACGTCACGGCCCCGTTTTGGTTTACCCAGAATATGCTTCTCGTCCAGTTCGCCTTCATCCTCAGAGCTGGAGGCGTAGTTGTCAACTAGTTTCTGGGCGGCTGCCAGGTTTTTTGCTTGTGCTTTATTGAACTTTTCCATTTTTGTAGCCGGCTTTCTTCGGTTGCCAATCAAACTGGGAATTAATTTCTCGGGGGATGATCCCAGGGATGGCGAGCACTGTGATAACAGCAATACTCGGAACTAGGTTCCAATGAAACTACAATCTGGAACTAGTTCTAGGTGGGAATTTGTTATAATTTTTATTGTTTAGTTTAAGTATTTTTTTATTAAAGATTAATTAAAGATTTCATTCAAGCTTTGACCGCTCTATAGGGTTTTACACAAGTGCGAGCAGGACGACTATATGGCACCGCAAACACCGATAGATCTACATACTGAGATACCGATAACAAAATACTTCTGTAATTAAGAAAATTGTAATTGAAAAGTGTATTAGCAAGTGTGTGATTAAATAATATTTAAGAAAAATAGCATATCAGAAATAAAATTAAATTAATAAAGTGGCTAAGTAATAAAAGCTGGATTACTGTGTCATTCAGCCATGAGATAACTGTCACAAAAGAAAAACTGTTTTCCTAAAGTTCCCCTTGAATTTACTGCCATTTCATTTTGTGTTGGAGTAACGACGTAAAAACATATTAGAAACATATATAAATATCACATAAATAAAAAAAAACAACATAACGGTTTTCTCAGGTTCATCGCCCAGCCCTGGCAGACCGTACAAACATCTGCTATTAGTGCGCGACCCTGGAACTTTCACAACGATTGCAACAAAATAAAAAAAAAAAAAGAAAACGACACGAAAATTGAATATATCCAGACGGAGAAATATACATACCGACACGAAAGATGAGTTTCCTCAATTACGTGTTTGGCCCGAATCTCTTCATGGAGTACCGGGGTGTTCCAGAGCCGCAGCGCAAGATGTACGATGCGGGAGCCGCCGAACGGTTCGGCGAGCAGATTCTGTCCACGGTAAGTGTCCAGGGGGGAAAACTGGAGCATATGGAAATGTTGAAAGAGCTATGAACTTTCTACCCACTTCGTTGCAGCTCTCGGTTATGTGGTCAGTGGGATACTACACATCCCCTTTGCTCGTCACATTCCTCTACCGTCGCGGCTACTTCGTAGCAGACTCCATACCGACTTTGGCCAAGATTACCACTAGCCTGGGCCTCATTGTCATCATTTCCCTGGTGATGCGCGGTCTGGGGCGCAAACAGTCGCGCTCGTACTCCAACATGATGAAGGCCCTGGTGCGGGCCAAGGAGTCCAAGACAGCTGGCGGTGCCAGCAGCGAGCTGCGACGCTTTGACATTGAGTTTAAAGCCTGGCCAGTGGACTTTGATGTGAAGGCTCTTACTGGGTAAGTCGAGGGAGTTACTAGAAAGTGGGATTATAATTTTCCTCCTTCCTTTCAGGGACACCAAAAAGCCTGTGGTGACTGCCAGTAGGCGTGAACCGCTCCAGCTGGCCACCCTACCCTGTGAAGTGATTGCCTATTTGGCCATCAAAACCTTTGGGCTTTCCATGATCTATCCAGGGTCTGTGAAGCTGTTGCAGAAATTCATGAGTATGTAGAAAAAGTAGTTGGAAATCGACATACCACTATTAACATCCTTTCCAGGACCCATGCTCATCTCCGGTCGCGCCAAGCTCATCGAGGATGACAATGGCATCCGCTATAAGGTCAAGACCATTGACTCGAACGAAATCGACACCTTGTTCATTGACAACCGCAACGACAATGTGGGCAATGGCAAGACCCTGGTCATTTGCTCTGAGGGCAATGCTGGCTTCTATGAAGTAGGAATCATGGGTACTCCAGTGGCCTTAAAGTATTCAGTTCTTGGCTGGAATCATCCTGGTTTTGCTGGTAGCACGGGCACACCATATCCACATGAAGACAAGAATGCCATCGATGCTGTGGTCCAGTTCGCCATCAATAATCTGGGTTTTTCGGTGGAGGATATCATTCTGTATGGCTGGAGTATTGGAGGCTTTAGCACATTGTACGCTGCATCCGTTTATCCGGATGTCAAGGGTGTGGTGCTGGACGCCACCTTTGACGATGTGCTTTATCTGGCTATACCTCGCATGCCTTCTGGACTGGCAGGAATTGTGAAGGTGGCCATTCGCAATTATTGTAATTTGAACAATGCAGAGTTGGCTGCCGAGTTTAATGGCCCAATTTCGTTTATACGCCGCACTGAGGATGAGATAATAGCCGAGTGAGTGCTAAATTTCCTACTTTACTTTCCTCTCTTTCTAAAGGAGTTATGTTTTCCTCTTTAGGGACAACCGCATTGACACCAATCGCGGCAATTACCTGGTCTTGTCTGTGCTAAAGCATCGGTATCCCAACATCTTTGGCATCCCTCAGTTGAACAAAATGAAAAGCCTGCTTTCGAAGCCCCTGGAACCGTATAGTATCCCCACCGCCGACGAGAAGCTCTGCATGTCGCGCCTCATTACCTACGCCTCCGATGAGGGCAAGTCCTTTCCCATGCACATTGGAGCTGATTACTCAGAGGAGGTGCGCAACCTCATGGCTGTGTTCTTGGTGGGTTTATTGAGCAGTTTCCAGCGTAAAATAAATAGAAAATTAACAAGCCTTTGTATTATTACAGCTGCGCAAGCATTTACGTGACTACAACTCGACGCACTGCACCCAACTGCCCGGGGAGTTCTTCACCATGCCCTGGGACATTCCCACCGAGCACGGTTTCGTGTTCACCTAAGCCTGCCCAAGGACGTTAGGTATTATTCCGAAGGGGGGGTGGTGTGGCCGTGTATGCTTAGACTTAGTGAATTATGGTTTTTAGTCATTTTGCACTCTTCGACTGCTTATTAAATTATTCTAACTGGGAACAGCCGGGTCGCTGACAACTGGTGTAAAATTGTCTCTTATATACAAGATAAATAAATGTCACAAGATATAAACTAATCAAAAAGACGGATGCGCTGGTTTGGCGGTGAGTTTCTATTTCGCTTACGCATTTACAACTAAAAGGAGGGGCAGTAGTAGTTCAACGAGTTGGTTTTACGAGTTCTTCTTGGAGCCACCGAAGCCGGAGAAGCCCATTATGGCGGCCATGTCATCGGGCAGGCCACCGCCGGAGCCAAAGTCATCCGTATTCTCGGCCTTGCGCTTCCTTTCTTTTCGTTTCTCCTTGCGGTGCTCCTTGTAGCGGTCTTCCTCCTCTTTGGCCTCGCGCAGCCGGCGCTCTAGCTCGTAGTCCTTTTGCTTCTCCTCCATCTTCTTTTTGTTCTGCTGGAACCGCTCCTTCACCTGGTCGACGGTGCTGCGTTCCACCTTCATGGACATGCCCAAATTACGCTGGTGCTTCTTGCCATTGATGTGGTCGAGGAAGTTGATAGAATCCTTGACCACGCAGTCGCAAACGTTGCAGTAGTAGCCGCCGGACTGCGAGGTGGGTGTGTTCTTGTTTATCACCACGCTCTTGCCCAGCTTGCTGTCCAGGTCCACCTTGTAGTCGCGGCGTTTAAGGTTCTCCCGCTGCACGGGCTCTGCAAGGAGAACAAGGAACAAAGACCAAGAGTTTATGTCGACGCTCGGAGGTTGTGTAGTTCAAAGCAGCACCTTCTTCCTTGGGGGCCACCTGGTTGAGGAGGCGCTCCGCCGCCAGCTTCTCGTACTCGTTCTTGTCCCATTTTCTTCGGTGGTCATCAGGTCGCATAGTCATGGTGCCGCTGTGATTTGTTTTTTTAAATAAATATTATTATTGTAAATATTTTCGTTAGCGATGCGCGGCTACATCGAGAGTATCAAATATCGATAGTTATGACCTACCGATAGCTTTCTATATGAGCGCTGCCATCCCTAGTTTTTCGATAACGTATTGATTTTTCGTTACAAAAAGGGGGAGTATTTGGAAATAATATAAAAACCGAGAAATTACTTGTTTTGGAGAAAAATATCTGAGAAAAATGGGCGCCGCTTTCTTCCCCGTGTTCTTCTTCACCGGCCTTTGGGGTGCTGTGGGCATTGGAATGCCCATTATGACCCCAAAAGGACCACACCAGAATCTCATCCGTTGTGTCCTCATGCTGACCGCTGCCTGCTGTTGGCTCTTCTGGCTCTGCTGCTATATGGCCCAGATGAATCCTTTGATCGGACCCAAGCTCAAGCGGGATGTGGTGGCCATGATCGGCAGGTCCTGGAACAACGAAATCCTCGAGCACTAGGAAGCTGCCTCATCATCCAATAATGTATTCCAAGCATAACCAATAACAATTGTTTCGTGTTGTAAATAAAATAGTGAAAAACATCTATTGTTACGTTCTTTTAACAATTAAAGGCTGTTTTTATGTTTATTTAATAAATCTTATATAAAAAAAGCAAAAGAAATAGAAACTTCCGTACTGAAAAAAAATAACAATGATAAAGCTATTTTAACTTAATTATGTTGCTTTCCTATCATAATTAAAAAAAAAAGAAGGAAAGAAATTTGTAAACAAATAAAATATAAATAAAAGCAAATTCTAAAGGAACCTGTTACAAATAAACCATAAAAAAACAAAGCTATTTATATTTTATTCTGTAACAAATAAGAAGGGTAAATTATAGAAATAAAATATATTTGCTAATTTTCATGAAAATCAAAGCTTAAAAAATGGATTATTAGGCCAAAAATGCCTTCATTTCGATTCGGAAAGCATTCTTGTGTTGGTTTTTATAAGGATAACAAATCTGCATACTAACTTAAATTTTTTATTAAACCAAAATTTTTGCTAATTTCTAATAATTTTAATGATGTAACCCCTTACTTTTTTTTTTACAAAAATTTTAAATTTTCGTTTTTATTCCAACATGGCTAGAAAGACTCGCCTGTTGATGCTGATCAAGAATATGTATGATTTATGGGGTCGGAAATGACTCCTTCACTGCGTTTCAAGCTTTTAACTGAAATAATAATGCCCTGCAAGGGTTTAAAAATAAATGTAAAAAAACAAAGAAAACATTACTAAAAATAAAGAAAATGGATATTTCCAATATCTCTACAAATCTAAATAGTTATGAATAAAAACTAATTAGAATATCAACTTAATTTCTTAGAAAAACTAAACAAATGATTACTAAATAAGAAAGTATAACCGCATTCCAAACAAAAAGATGCTACATTTTCGATTTCATTTCGCTAAAATATCTATTAATTTCCCAGAGACGGTTAACTACCGAATACCACTATCCCAGACAATGAAAATATATTTTTGAATCAATTTAAATAACAGAAGAATACCGCCACTTGCGGCTGATAAAGACCCCAAAGAGAAAGAGCGCGGAGAGAGTAGAGAAAATCGTTTGCGCATGCGCGACTCTGCTCTCTGGCAGACCGTCTTCATTTCTCTTTTCAACGATTCTTCTGCGCTCGAGATTTGTGGCCATCGTCTTCAGTTTTCCATCGGACTCGGGCGCGAACAGTTGGCTTTTTGAAAATCGCGGCTCTCGACGCGAGAAGAATTGATAACTTCGAGATTTCCGAGAACCGATGTATTATAATCAAAACTGTGCAAAATTTGTGATTAAATCGCTGGCAGAAGAAATACAATTTTTTTCAACTCGCATTCTCCACAAATGGAACCACTCTTCGGACTATAATTCAGTGTAGCCTTGCCAGGTGAGCTATTTGGCTGTTTACAACTCAATTTGCGGGAAAGGTACGCAGGACCAGTGGACTTCGTGGACTCTGCCTAAGCCAAAGACTATACTTGGGCCATAAACTAGTTAGACATGCAATAAAGCAAGCAAAAGGCAGTGAGTGAGTGCTGGCCAGCAAAGGTACAAAACTGGTTACATTGCCAGTGTGTGTTATTACTCCCCAGAGACCCCGAAGACCCCAGCGTAAGAGGTAGAAATTCAAGCTCGGCCCAAAGCAATAATCGCGCACAAACGAGCTGGTAAAGCCAAAAAAAAAATTATGGATGTTAAGACGAAAAATGGCAATAAAAAAGGGGCTCCCAAAAAAACCAGTCTGTGATAAAAGAAATTAGAAATTAAGGTCCCCCCCCTAAAGGGCGGCAGACAGCAAAGAGCATTCCGACTCCCAACATCGACTTGGCACCAATAAAAGCGTTGAGAATGGCTGAAAGAAAAGGCCGAGTGGACAGGTGATCCGCGTCCAAAGAACAACTGAAACAAAAGGCCAGAGAACGTTTTGTATTGTGTCTCCTCCTCGGGGCTTTCTTGGTGTCTGTCGTGGCTTTATATGTCGCTTAACCGCGCAATTACCGCGTTCATGATGAACTGGGCCAATTGACAGTTCAGTTCGGTTCAGTTTGGAGCCCCGGATCCGTTGCTCCCGGCTGCCGGAGATCGGAGATTGCGGGAGGAACTTCTCTATTAGTCTCCGATCCCACTATCGGCCGCACGATGAGTGGGTCGTGTTGTCCATTATGATGGGAGATTGTTCTTAGAGCTTGGACAGATGCGGTTGAAAGTATAGTGATCTTAGTTCAGGTCTTAGAATGCAGTCTCAGAGGAGAATAAGAATACCTAAGGAAGACATAGCTGGAAAAATCATAGTTTTTATATTGTTTTCAAATTTTCCTACAAAAACTTCCACAGCTTCGATTGGTTTTGCAGTTTTGAGAAAGCTTAAAAATTGTCCAAATTTTTCTTTTTAAATGCAGCTAGAAGAGTCTTTTAAATTTCTTATAAATTAACCCATAAAACTTCTAATTCCCCACTTGGAATTATTAACTTCCAGAGGCTTGGTTGCTATTATTTCCACCACAACTGTCCCCATTAAAGATATAAGCATTTTGCATCCATCTAACAATGTATGCCGATGCGGAAATTGATTTTTAGTTGCAGTTAACGTTTTTTTTTCAGCGTTTATGTTTACGGTTCTCGCGCTAACATCTTGGATGCGGACAGGAAGAGGCCGTGGCTCTCGGCACTTGGCACTCATTCGGATTTTTCTGACCCAATTTGGGGCACACAACCTGCAGCAGACTCCCTCCCCTGTAATAACCGACAATTTACGCAAATTCTCCATCCGAACTGACTCATTGATAACTGCGGGCTGACGCCTCAAAGGAGAAAGTGCCAAAACACTTGGAATTGGACTTGGACTCGGACTCTGACTCAGCACGAGACGACACTTGGGACAAGGCCGAGAGACAGGTTGCCAAATCCACATCCACTTCCACTTCCAAGTCCAAATCCGAGTCTGAATCCTAGACGCCCATATATTTCGCTCGTCTGTCTGTCCAGCTGTCACCAAGGCACTTTTCGTGTTTCTACCAATTTCTACACTCGTATTTTGACAATTTTCACCTCAAATTAGTTTCACTGAGAAGGCAGGCAATGAAAATTTTCATTTTTTTTTATTTTTCGTCGTCTGTCGGAAGTGGATCAAAGACGCAGAGACGTAGAAATGCGCAAAACCAGATTGAGATTGAAAAATTATGTACATTTTTACGAGCATTTCTCGGGTGTGAGTTTTCGGGTTTATTTTGATTTCGTTTTCGTTGCCCTGGCTGGAAATTATTCATTTACAAGCTAATGAAACACTTTCGCTCGTTAAGAGCCGGTGGTCAGGTCTCAAGTCTTAAATCTGGCCACTAAGATCTCTGGTGAACACCCCACCTCCACAACTGTGTGGGGGTTCTTTGCGGCATATTCTCTACTGCCTGTGAAGAATCGCAAATTGGTCAGGAGATGCGAAGCGAATGATACATCTCGGCCTAGTCTGGCCCAAATTGGCAGCCTAGCTGATCATCCGTGCCGCACGATTCCTCTAGTTTACTCCAAATGACAGAAAAATGTGGAGATCCCCAGCCAAGAAGAGCCGGCCACTTCCATCAGATTGATCTGTGCAGCTGTCGGCTGGCTGACTTGGCTCGGAGCTTCGGAGTTCGTGCCGGGGCGAAATAGAACATAACGCTAAGCTGCGGCTAAATTGCATTCAAATGATGTAAAATCGCCTCTAATGGGCCGATCTTTTGTTTCGCCTGCCAAGCGACCAAGGAAAGCGACCTCAAATGCAAGAGTTCGTTGCGGTAAAGCGAATAAAGCATTCGAGTGCACTAGAAAAAATAATGGAGATAGTTCTTAAGGGGATAACATTGAGGGGGAATGGGTTTTGAAATGAATAATTTTGTAGAATTTTATAGAAGAGTGAAAAGGGATTTCCTTGAATAGTAATATCAAAATCAATCATTATATTAACATAAATTTGTTTAGAAAAGAAAAGGTGTTAGTTATGTTCTTTAAAGGGAAAAGAATAGGTCTAAGTAAGGCTTATGTTTTAAATACACTAGATCTTAAACAAGTCTTTAAATAATACGAAATTTTCACCCGAATACCATCCAAAGATTGCCCTGAAAATTGACTTGTTAAGTTTATGAGTAGAAGGATTTTTTAATCCAATTATTTTCAATGAGTAGAAAATCTAATAATAATTTGATGTAGTTAAAATTCCTTGCAAATCAACATTTATTTCATTAATAATAAACCCAAAATGATATAATTTTTCCCCATGTAAGAATCTAATAGATGGAAAGCATTCAGACTCAGACTTGGACTCAGAAACCAAGTGAAATGTTAAAACATTCGCCTGAAATGTGAGTTTCAGTGGGTTTGTCTTAGTATGGATCAGTTGGTATTGGTTGGTCTGGAAAAGAGGAGTAGGGGAAAAGAAGCAGAAGCTAGTGGAGTCAGTGGATGTGCGTGCCGTGCCTTGCATGCTGATCGTGGCACTAATTGCAGTTCGGGTTCTTATCCACCAAGTGCGTCGATGCATACTAAGAGGAAGCTGTCTTCTGCCGCCGCGTTGACATTTGCATTAGAATTGGACATGGAAGCAGGGAGTTATACGGAGCGGGTTGCCTCCTCCAAAGAAAATTAATTGGTGGAAAACCCATTTAATTGTTTGACGACCTATAATTTGCATATATTCAAACGAAGTAGCAGCTGTAAAACTGATTTACGGCAGACTGATAAAGTTATATGCAATGTAATTTAACGGAACTTTAAACATTTATTTTTAAATGTTATTTTTATTGTTGTAAAAACTGTAAAAAATAAATTACAAACCTAACGGAAGGCCGAATGGTTGGATGAAGTGAAAAAGAAGCATTAAAACAAGTTTTTGCTTTTGTTTATAATTAAAAACAAGATAAAGGTGATTGAAGACAAAGTTGAAATAAAACAGAGAAATTTATAATTAATTAAAATATTTGTGGAAGATAAACAAGATTATTTACCAGGCCTATTTAATTACTTTTTAAACAGATTTATTTAAGATTTCATTAACAATAACTCATTATTTTCTATTATATTCCCTAAGTAATATGGAACAAAATTCACCCGCTTGAAGTTCTATAAAAGACAAGAGACAAGACTCACCTTTTCCGGCATTTAGCACTGTTGTTAATACTGTTACCTCAGCCTAACGGCTTTCCTCGCCTGACTTGACACTTTTCACCTGTCTGTCGCTCGTTCGATGACTGCGCCCTGTACGGTCGGCCCTCGTAAAGTTGCTCTAAGTGCTCCGTACAAGAGTGAGTAATCAAGTTTCCGAATAATTCTTGGGGGAGCACACACATGTGGGAAAGGAAAAGAAACGAAACGCAAGAGCTGGCGCAGAGATTTGTTTGTTTTTAATTAGTTTGGTCGTTGGTTAAAGCGTAACGGTGAATGCTCTTAATGACTCTTCCTTTATGTTATAATATTATGTTTTATTTTTATACTATTCTCGGCTTCCTCTGGGTTCTTGTCAACTGTCTTCTGGGGTTTTGTTGTCTCAAAATGAAATGCATTTTTAGTTCCGCAATTGAGAAGGGGAAGAGTTCTGCTCTACGCAGGTTGGTCGTCAAGTGGTTCTGAATTGTAAACCTCATATTACGAGAGACTATATGGTATATAAAGTGGTCATGCTCCAGTAAGACTTTGGTAGCTGGCGCCGTTAGAGCGATTACGATTCTGATTACGAAACTGCAAAAATGTTGCACGGACAGAGATTTAGATTGCTCTTCTACCATCTAAAATATTCATGTCTTGATAGCCATAAACAATTTAATTAATTTATTATACAATTAGCGGCAACGTTACTTTGTTGCAGTCATTCAACGCCGCTGTGCGTTTACACGGGAGATGAGATAGAAAAAAACTCATTAAGAGAAAGGTTTTTAGAGTTGCTTTTTAGATTTACAAGTTGTATTTTAAATGAATTTTTAGGAGGTTTATTTATAAAGAAATACGGAATATTCTCCTGATAAGACATGCCCTTCCTGTCAACCGGAAATGGATGTTATCGATAAAGTCAAAGTTTTTTATCTCTACTTCCTTTTCCGTTTCTACTGCCCGTTCTGTTTATATTTATGTTAGTTATGAGATTTCTGTTTGCCTTTCTTTTTTTTGGGAAATCAATAAAAGAAGATTGCATAAATTTGCACACAGATACTGGCAAATTGAGGCATCAATTATGACATCTTAGCGGTATTCGAGACTCGTATAATAAGACTGCCAATTGGCAATCACTTTCGAAAAATAAATAAATAATAAGAAATGCTTCCACCTTTTGATGAGCGACGCCTGCATTGTCCGGATGATTCAATGAGCGGCAAAGCTCTTCTAGTTTCCGATGCGTTCGGAATGGACACTTTCCATTTCACCGTCATTCCAAGATAGCCATCAATGGGAATTGACATCGATGCTGGGGCCTCACCTGTGAGCTCCTCCCCTTTTACACCTGTCGCATTTCACTTTCTTCGACACTTTGTCGGCGGCGGCGGCGGCTATTATGATTGAAAGTGGCTGTGAATCTTAATCTGGCCGAAAATCGCCTTGCTGCCAGATATATGTAGCGTCGGAGACAATGGTTTAAACGTGCCAGCGGGTTAATGGCCGACTTCCGTTAGACATTTCTGCAGATTGCTACCGATGACCAAGTGTCCAACTGTCCAAGATCAAATTCTCATCAATCATTCTTTGACGCTTTTTCGTCCAGCAATTTCACCGATAGAGAAAATCGGCTAATGCGAGAAATTTAATCAACTTATGCGTGGCTGGCCGGCGACGTCTTAATACTTAATGCCTAAAAAAAAAAAATTAAAAAACTGCAAGTGTGTGTTGTGCCAGTAATATTTTTGTTTTATTTCTGTATTTTTCGTTTACTTCTTTCATGCGGCAGAGCCGAGAGGCAAGTCAATTTATTCTGTCTTTCTCCGCACACCAAAAAGTTACAGTTGAGGAGGAAATAATAGCACTAAAAACAATTTTAAACAGGGTTTAAGTTTAGTTTTGTTTATTATGAGATGGAATTATTGGAAATAAAGTATAGATTTGAAGGCATATGATTTTGGATTGTAACTACTATACTTATTTTCTAAAATATTTTCAATAAGATTTCAATAAGAAATTCTAGAAGTTTTAACCAAAAAACAACCATTAATTTGACCACCATTGTGAGTACATACTTGGGAGACGCGCACAAGCTGCCAGTTTTGGCTTTTGCCGTCTCCGCCGGGCCGGGCCCCCTCCTCTTCTCCCATTTCCATTCCTCCTCGTGCCATCGTGGCTCCGCGCATGCGCATCTAGGTCAAAGCTGGTGGCTACGGCTTTGGCCATGATGACGACGGCGATGTTGATGGCGATGACTCCCCAAGCGTTCTAACCATAGTCTTGGGTATAGAGTGGAGGGCACCCCCCTTTGGGAGCCCAGCCCAGACATTTCTATGCGTATTTCCCTCTGTGCATGTGTATGCCAGATTGCTAATTGCACGGGTTCTCTTCAATTTGCCTCTTTTTCTGCTAGTTTGAGCGCGTTTTTGGCGGTACATTTTTATTAGGCAAATGGGTTTCCGTTCCAATTCAATGAAGGAAGAGGTGATGATAGAGATTCCGTTAGGTTAATGCCGGGAAAAGGCGATCACAGAACTATTACTAACTGTTTAACATTTATTTTACTTGGAAATTCTAAAGAAAAACAAACTACATATTTTGTTATTTATAGTTTAACAATTAAACACTATTTCCAGTTATATTTTAGGCTTTCTCTAGACCCTTAATTGAGCCTATCATTAATCATAAATTTTGCATAATCTTAACCATTAGCTTTGTGTGTTCGATTTCTGATGACCCAACAAAAAACGAGGCTTTTGCTTCCGAAGACCTGATTATCATGCCACAGCATCCATCCCAATTAGTTTCTCTGTCTGGCCGCCACCGCCATCATCAAGACATTCCTAAAAATAACAGAACTTTTACTTTTGCAAGCTCAGGCTTGAGGCTGGAGAGACCTGAGATCCGAGACTTGAGACCCCTTGAAACCATCGCTACTTCCATCTTCTATTTTTACACACGTTTCTCCGCATCTGTGAACTTTGCTTTTGATACCAAAGTATCATACATTGTGTGCGACTCTATAAGCACAGCGATCTTACATGTGTATATGACGGCGGAACAAGCCATAACATAACCCAGCCCCAGTCACAGCCCCATCTTCATCTGCAACCTCCATCTCCTTCACATCTCTCGTACCATCTCTGCTGGAGAACTGGTTTCCATCCCACTCCATGCCATTGCCCATCTGCTGTGTACTTAAGCCATTCGTGGTGGCCGGGAGTGGGTTCTTCTTCCCAAGAGAAGAAGTGAAAATTCCAAATTTGTAGGGCTCAGACCAGTGAGCGTATCAAAGTGTCGGGGAATTCTCTAATTAAACTTTTTGGGTTTTGTGTCTCGAAGAGCTTTCGCTTTTTATGACTGGTCAGCGAAGAGAGGTCTAGTTTTTTCTTTATTTTTTTTTATTGAGGGGGTTCAATTAATTATGAAACTTGTGAGTGATACCTTCATTCATTGAGAAGAAGGTTGGTTTTTGGGGTTTTATGGGCATAACAAATGTCTCGATATACTGGGAAAATAGTCATTAAACCAAGAGATGGTAGAGGAAGTGAAGAAAGGGTTAACTGGGAAATGTTTGTATTGTAAACAAGTTGAGATAGAGCCCACAGATAATACTAGTTATATCAGAATATCCGAATTAGTTATAGGTACAAAGAAAAACTATTTTATTATGTATTTTTTATAAATTTTTGAATAGAAAAAAGTCTAAAATTCTAGAATCTATTACCTTTTTCTTCAGATTAGAATACCTTTACAGAATATATATTTTTTTTTGTGGTGTAAAAAACTGTTTTGTAGGAGTTTTGAAAAATGTAAATCAAACCGGTTAACGGCCTGCATATCTCATAGCTATTGTTTGCTGTTCTTTTTTCCTCTTTTTCCTCTTTGGCGAAAAGTGAGAATTTTCGTTTGGCTAATGGGCTGGAAACAGGATTAGCCGGTTCTCCGGCATGCTGGCCCATTAGTTGGACTTTTCACAGCCCGATCCCAGTTACAGTCCAAGAACGGATCACTCAGAGCGGAGTGGGCTCAAAAGAAAGCAAACTCTCTGTGTCCCGCCCGGTCCAAAACGAAAGTGAAGCAAAAACCAGCTAACAATGATCCCCCGAATATTTTTTCTTCTTGATTTCAGAACCTGCAAAAGGAGTTGGAGTTGAAGTTGGAGCTGTAACGGCACTGACATCCAAAGATGGACACCGTTTATGGGACCAAGAAGTACTTCCAGAGTTTATCCGGCGTTAGTGATATATATAGGGCCCAGACATGCCGGCAAATGGTGAGTAATCCTTATCATTTATCACCTGGAGGGGACAAAAGAACCCAGACAGTTATACAATGCCAATGAATCTGATTAGAGTCTCGAGTCTCGAGTCGAGTCTCCGGGGAGTGAATAGAATTGAGGCCAAAAAAAAATCTTTTTGTAAATAGAATTGTTACATCAACGCGAGGTGGGTTTTCTTTTTTTGTTATCTCTCTTTTTTGTGTTTTTTTGTTGTTTTTTTTATACAAAGAACGCAGCTTGCATATTTATTTATTCGTTTGCCTATTTGTTTGGGGCAGCAGCTCCGGGAACTCGGAGCTGTTTGCATTCCTCGTTCACAGAAAAAAAAACATAGGTACCAGCGAGCAAACTAACCGAGCAGCAGTTCGTTTTCTCGCTCGTTCGTTCGTTGGTTCGTTCTAAAAGGTGAATGACTTTCTCTGGCAGCGAAGAAAGAAGCCACCAAGAAGAGGCGGCTAGCGAAGAAAGAGCGGAAGAGAACGCAACGCAAAAGAGTTGGCAAGACTGTTGGGGGGGCTATAGCGGATGAGGAGGGGAGGAGGCCACAAGGGAAATGCCCTGCAGCTAACGAATGTTAAATGGTAATCAAGAAACAATCAAAACATTCCCACAGAAGCCCTCAGGAAGCGCCCTGGGCAAGGTGCACTCTCCACACAGTTGATTTTGAGATAATTATAGGTTACAAATCAGTGAGATTTCCTAATTAAAACTCTTGATTGCTTTCAAATTAAGTATTGAGTTTGGTTCCAGTGAAGAATTTTAATTACCCGTCTATAATGTCAGATTTTTCCATATCAATGTCAATGTCAATATCAAAAGACTTAGGCAACAAACTTGTTTATGGCAGCTCCGTAAAGAAGATCAAAGCGAAGTTGTTGGATTATTATAAAAAATTATTATTCAATGATTTGATGTACTATACATAGTTTTTTTCTATATAATTTAATTTAATTTAATTTAATTAAAAAAAGAACCTGTAAAATGCTAATCACTTGCCAGGCACCGTGAGCCTGTGAACCTGTTGATGCTCATTGGACTCTGACCAAGTGCAATGACTCTCTAACTCTGTACTCTGCTAATTAAATGCGTTTTCCCAGCACTAGAAGAACTGCTGCTAATGAGATGCATTAACAAATCATGACAAGTTAGATAGTGAGATCTCCGCTGACATAACCCCTTGGGAAAGCTGGGAAAGTTTTTGGGGGAAGCTTGCGGTTGGTTCTCTGCGGCGAATCTCTGTAAATTGAGTTCAAACTAAGGCCCGTTAGATGCTAACTTCCGTAATCTAGAACCTAGATTGGTGACTGAGGAGCTAACTCGCCAAAGAAAGTGGCCAAAGGGTCGAGAATTGAGAAAGTTGTGCGACTTCCAGCAGCTCAAAGCTAATTATCTAATTTGTGGCCATCGGGATCAGATCGATCAGATGCCAGACTTAGTCTGGCACACTTTGGAAACCCAGTTAACCACATCTGTCACTTTTGCAGAGTGCGGACTACACATACCAGAACACCGTTGGCCGGAGGTCTCAGCTGGGGGCGTACTATCACATGAACAAGCAGCCCTCGTACACCAATGATCACAGTGTGAACAGTCAGTATGGTTACAATACGTGGGGCATCTGGCGGGATGGCAGGAACATTGCCCCGTCCACGTTTTCGGCCAAGACGCATACACAATACCCGAAGAATCGTTCCTTCTCCATTATCCTGACCACGGCGGCATTTATAGTCCTGTTGGCCGTCATCTCCATAGCCGGTTTGGCCTTCTACTTTAGCTCCATCAAGACCAATCTGGAGGATCGTAAGAGAGAGCTTTATAAAATTGTTAACAGATCCATATTAATTAAAACCCTTTCTTCTCAGCCATCATGGGTTTTGAGGGCTCTTTCCGCATTGCCAAGGGGGATCTCTTCTCCACGGGTCTCAAGTACAACCACACAACGACCTACAAACAGAAGATTGATTTCTACAAGCGTTTTGTGGAGCGTTCAATGATGGATAATGGTTTGACGCCGCTGCGCACTGATGTCTGGGGCTTTGGTGAGGGTCCATTGATAAAGGTCTCCTTCCGGGTGTTTCTCGATGTCCGCAAACTGCCGCAGTAAGCTTAATCTTCTATTTCTTCTTAATAGATTTAATATATAGCATTTTTATTTAGAAATATACTGAGCGTGGAGGAGTACATTAAAGAGTCTCTGTTCCTGGAGACCTCCGCCACCAAGTCATTGTATCGCTCATTGAGGCTGGACACCGAATCGGTGGAGATCAAGCGGATAATGGACGAGCAGGTGGTGCGATCTGCAGCTATACTTAAGGAAGCAGTAAGAGAAGAGTCCTCATTTATTTAAATTCTCTATAATAAAATCTTAATGTTCATCAGCAAACGGTGCCCACTAGTCAAACCCAACTGGAGAAGCGTCTAATGAAGAAAGGCAGCACGCCGGCACCATCGCCACTTCACCCAAAACCTCTGGGTGGCGGCAATACTACGCCCAAGCCGAAGAATCCCCTAGTGCGCACCCATGCCGCTGACGAGGAGCCCGACATCGATGTGGAGAACGCTCCGGTTATCCAGGGTTCTTTTGAGGGTTCCTTTGAGATCACCAAAACGGATGCAGACATTGCCCGCAAGAAGACGCCACCAACTAGGGCCTATCAGACCAGCAGCAGTAGTGCCTTGCCGCCCAAGACTATTGCTGTGACGCCTTACTCCTTGAGGGTGAAGCCCAAAAAGCCAAGTATTGAGAAGCTAACAACAGTGCTGCCACAGCAGGTACCATTGGGAAATCCTTCCTCGACAACCAGAGCAACCACCAAGGCCACAAAGGCAACTACTACGACTAGGAAAAGCACTACGAGTACGACAACTTCTACAACAACAACGACGACGAGCACAACGACAACTACTCCAAAGCCAACAACAAGTACTACGACTACGGAGGCCACCACTAGCTCCACTTCCAGTACTACACTTCCTCCGCCGCCCAGCACCACTCGGACCACAACGACCACGTTCACCTATCCTCCAGTGAGCACGCCCACTTCAAGCCCAATAGGATCTCTGCCCAAACTGGATGCCAATCTATTCACCACCTTCCCCATTTTGGATACACAACCCTGGAGACCGATGCATCGAGAGGTTCCTGAACTGTTGCCAGGTCCACCGCCAGCTTTTCCCACTAAAACCTTGCCAGGAGCAGCTGGAACCACGCCTACCGTTAACCATATACCCCAGAGAAGGATTGATGAGTTCGAGTTGCCCTTTATCGGGGACAATCCTACGCCTCCGACAGCGGCCGTGGCTCCAGTGACCATTGATCCATACAGTCTTGGATTCCTCAATCCGGGAGTGCGTCTGCAGGAGCCCAAGCCTCTAAGTCCCGTGCACCAGCAGCAGCCACAAGATCAGGACATGCTCTTCTACCACAACTTTGGCAGTCCCGTTTTCATGCCGGGAACTGAGAATATTGAGCGGCTGGGAGGAGCACTCGTAGAACCGCATCCGCTGCCTGTTCCCCTGATAGATGATGTGATTATTCCGCCTTTTAAGCCAATCGATGCCACGATAGGAACAGGTGAGAAGCTGCCCTTTAATCTGGATGCCAGCAACGAGAGATTCGAGCATCTAGGCGGCGGGGTTATAGCCAAAAAGCCGCAGGACAAGCTGGAGAAGAAGGAGCCGCAGGATAAGACGGAAAAGCCAGTCATCAAGGAGGAGCAAGTCAAAACTGCACAGGAACTGAACCAGGAGAAGGAGCAGCTTGAAACCACCACCAATCTACAAGAGAACTTGCCTACATCGACATCAAAGACGCCGGTTATTAGCTCACCCAAACCCACCAAATCTCCATCGTTACCTTCGCTGAAACCAACCGACAATTCGGTGCTGGCCGACACCATAGGCGAGTTCTTTATGGAGCTCCTAAACCTGCCCAAGGAGGACAATGCCACGGCCACTCCCAAGCCAACTGGAGATGTCTTAGAGTCCCGAATAGAGCCAGAGGAGGAAGAGGTGACGGTGAAGCCTGCCAAGCCGAATTTTATGAACCTCAAAGAGATCATTCTGCAGAGGAACACTCCCTCTTCGATTCTCTCCAATGCCAGCTTAGAGCAGGACTCCACAACCCCAACAACCACGACAACGACCACCGAAGAGCCCAAAACCACAAAAAGGAATCGAGTGCGAACGACAAGCGAAAAGCCAACCATGATGGATGATTCCAACCTATTTCCCTCGCACTCCAAGTGGGAGTTTGTCAACAGTTCGTCGGCACAGGGATACGGACACAACGGGAACATGAGAAAGGTCTTCAACCAGACGCTGCAGGCTTGGGTTTCGGAGGATATAGACAAGTCGGAGAACCTTACGCTAAACGATATCAAAACGAGGATTAACAATGCCAGCAATATCCAGGACATCTCGCTGATCTTTGATACTCTGGCCACCAAATTGGGCATCACGCCCAGTGTCCCAAACAAGTTTCCGCCCTTTTCACAAAACAAACTGAAGCATTCGGCACCCAAAGAGGAAGTAAAGAGGCCCATATCCACCACGACAGTTGCTCCAAAGCCCCTATTGCCCCTAGAGCGGGAGCCGTTCATCAAGCCCATGTCAAGTTTCATTGAGGAAGGCTCCTCTGAGGTCCTGGGCGCCGCCATTCCAGTGGTCGGCGAGGCAGAGGTGGAGGTGATTGATCCCGTGAAGTATGAGGAGCTGCTCAAGATCTCGCAGTTTGTCGCCAGCACAACGGAGCCAAGTGTGCACCGCCTAGTGACGCTGCTCCCGGTGAGATCCAACTCCGGAATCCGAACATATAGACCGCCCGCCGAGGAGCAGGACACGCCGCGCAGTGCTCCCCCTGCCGTTCCTGTTCCAGCTCCCGCTAAAGCCACCTCTCCACGTCCCAGTGTTGGTCCCGGCAAGATCAGCATACGGCGCAAGAGCAATCTCAACCAGAGCCGGAGATTCGGCCAGCAGCCCCCCGCCGAGGCGGTGGTCAAGGGCGGCATTCAGGTGACGGTCAAGAAGTGATCACAGAGTCGGCCAAATAGCTCCACGGATGAGATTAGCGGAGAGAGAGACACGTTCTACGATCTAGATCTAGATCTAGGTTAGCTTAGACCACTATATGTGCTAGTTGTAAGTAGGGAATATATAACTTTAGTTAGATCGATCGTGGAAATAACGAAATCTTGTTCGAAAATTGTTTTTCCCCCGCGAAAGGAAGTGAACAATTTTGGAATGACACTTCCGGTTATGCAACTGCCAGTCCTCCTCAGTATTTAAGATAAACCACACGTCACATAATTCATTGTTTATGAATCGAATCTCTATAAAGTCTGTATACGATCCTACGGTTTTCGAATATCATCTATTTTCCAGTTCATTGCGATTCTTATGTTAATGTTAGCTCACTGGATGTTTAAGTCGAAGAGTACTCTTAGTACTTGATAATTGTTTAAGCTCAATCTTTAAATAAATGTGAATAATTTATTAAGAGTTGTGTGTGTTTCATTTTATATATGCTGGGTTATACAAACTAATACTTATAGAAAAATGTACAGCTAAAAGGAATGCTTTTGGAGGTGTAATCTAATTTTTAAAATTAATTTATTACATTCAAATTAAAAAATGTATCTATATATTTTTATATGATAATTATTTTGACAAATTGATGTTGAAAAATGTCATAACTAAGCCAAAAAAGCACAAAATTTAGTTTGGAAAGCATATCTGAGCTTGTTTTTTGTAGGTTAACAAATCTGCATACTTAATTTAATATTTTAGGAAATCAAAAATTTTGCCAATTTTTTCACAATTTTAATGATGTAACCCTAACATTTTTTTGAAAAAAATTAAAATTTTTGTTTTCTTTTTAACATGTCTGGAAAGACTCTCCTGTTGATGCTGATCAAGAATATATATGGTTTATAGGGACGGAAATGACTCCTTCACTTATTAAAGTAATAAATCCCCCGAAGAAGACCTATATTTACCCATATTTTTTATGTGTTAACAAATCAAAGTTGAAAAATATAATAATTAAGATTATTAATTAAAATATCCTGCAAGGGTTTAAAAATGATAGCAGCGGACTATCGCGATAGTCTCAAGACAATCGATAGCGCTTGTGAGCGCCGCAATCGATAGCATCTGCGAGCCATAGATGGTTTTACATACCTGGTCACACCAGCGCATTCTTGGAGGATTTAGGCGTTGTTGTTGTTCGGTGGTTGTGAATCAAAATAAGAATAAACAAGTGGCTCAATATTCGCTAAGACTATATATAAACCCGCGCTGAAAAGTGGAATTAAAACCGCTAATTAAACTAACTTTAAGCAAGTGCAAAAATGGGTTGCGCGGAGAGCAAAGATGGGGAGGGGGAGGCTGGTAATAATAGGCCTAAATACCGGTCCTGTACGGACACCTGCTGGCTGGCTATTTACATTATTTTCTGGTTGTTTTTGGTAAGTTTCTAATGTGATTTACCCTTATAAACTATATATATAAAGAGATGTGTATCGGGGAAAGTGAAAGTTAAGAGATCAATCTGCGCAATGCTTCTGTGTGTCTGCTGCTGCTGCTCTTTGTGTCTCGTTGTGTGTGTGAGCGTTTTTTGCGCGCCGTTTACGAGGAGGAGGAGGTGGTGGCAACCGCGACATGTTACTTGGTGAGACATTCATGTCGTCATCGCCCCCGGTCATGAGGGGAATTGTTAATTCAGCTAATGAAGGCGATGATTTAACATTCCGGCCTGAAAAACTAGAGCCAAATCCATGTGGATTTTGAATCAATTATGGCTTGTTCAGTGTCCTGGTGGTGGACACACGCCACTCCCCGAACCCTGAAAGATATGCATGTCCATCCATTAAAGCGATTATATTAATAATGCCCCTAGACATGCCATGACATCGGCGTGGGCGTTGGCCCAGCTACACTTTTATTTAATTCCCCCTGAATTTAATTCCACTTTAAATTGAATGGAACTCCACTTTTCCTCTTGCAGATTGTGATTGCGATATTCTCGTTTGTTTACGGCAATCCCTTGCGCATCATCAATGGCTACGACTCCTTTGGCAACACCTGTGGCGTCAAGCATAATGAAAAGTTTCAGGGCTTTCCGCTGTCTGGCATGAACACCCTCGACAAGCCGCAGCTTTTCTACTTTGATGTCAAGGAGTTGAAGAAATCCCTAAAGATATGCGTCAAGTCCTGCCCGGCCAAACCTATGAACACGGCCAGTGAGCTGCTGGAGTACTACACCAAGACGGGCACTCAGCTGTGCAAATATGACTACAATATGCAGCAACTGTCTACGGTTAGGGAGGACAAGAGCATCTTGAATTTCCTGGGCCCCTGTCCCAGTCTACCCGTTCACGAGAGGTGTGCATGAGCTGCTAAACCAGTTAAAATTAAAAATTTAACTCTACTTCCTTTTCTAGCAACCCCATTCTGCATCGCTGTGTGCCCAAGGGTACTGGTGAGAAGTTCCAGGACTTTTACGATATGCTAAACAACTGGGATGTGGCCCAGCAGTTTATAGGAGATGTCTACTCCTCCTGGCACATCATAGCCATGGTGTGCGGCTTAGCCTTGCGTAAGTTTTTGTTTCATTTAAATTTAAAACTCTATTAAATTGTTTATTTTTTCTTAGTAATTTCCATTGCCTTGGTGACCATGATGCACTGGCTGTCGCGTGTCGTCTCCTGGATCATCTGCGTCCTGGTTATAGTGGCCAGCGTTGGTCTGGCAGGTGCTTTGTGGTATGCCTACTATAACATTCGCTACAAGTCGGGTGTGAATGTACAGTATACGAGGTTGGAGGAGTTTGTACGCAATCAGGATGCCGTCTTGACCCTGGCTGTGTTGGCCACCATAACTATGGTGAGATTTAAGCAGATTTCCAACGAGAATCTTACTCATAAATCAATGTATTTTTACAGATAATTCTCATAGTGATTATATACTTTTTGAAAAACAAACTGGCTGGGTTATCTGCTTTGTTCGAGGAAGCTGGCCAGTGCATGATGAATCTCCCAGGATTACTGATCGCTCCACTGCTAGCCTTTCTAGTTTTGATAGCCTTTTTGAGCTTCTGGGTTGTGGTGGTCATATGTCTGGCCACTGCCAGCTCACCTGGCCAGAGTCCCATTGCTCCATTTGACAATTCGGCGGCACATCAGCAGCCACTACCCACGAATGCGGTCTTTGTGGCCAACAATACCAGTATAAACGATCAAAGGAGTAAGTATTGGGGGACTTTTAAGATCAATTCATCAAAGGTTTAATGAGGGTTTGGAAAGCAGCTCGCCTTAAAATAATCTAAAGCATATATTTTTGTTTATTTATGGTTCGAAATTGCTGAATAAGTAAGTGATATTTGTTAAGGGCACAGAATTTTGAAATTTTGTATATATTTCTGTGTTTCTTAATCACTCATTTTTGGCTCCAATTTGTATATACAATTCTTAGTGGTTTTACGTAGACTTCTTTCTACTTTTTACTTCAATGAAATACTAATAATGTTTCTTTAAAAATAGCCATTTCACGCGTAGAATATGCCGATGCCGGTGCCCTGCGCAGCATGTTCTGGATCTATGTGGTGGGTCTCATTTGGACTGTGGAGTTTATATTTGCCTGCCAGCAGTTTGCTTTGGCCGCTGCCGTTGCCTTCTGGTACTTTGGCAAGCCCACAACGACACCCACAATTTATGCCATTGGCAAGCTGATCAAATACCATCTGGGCACGGTGGCCAAGGGGTCATTTGTGATCACAATTTTCAAGATTCCTCGCCTGATACTCACGTACTTGTATGCCAAGTAAGTAGAACTAGTTTCCCTTGATAATTATCAACTATAATTGAGTAATTTTCATTCCTTAGACTCAAGAAGGGCGAGGACAAGGGCTCGGAGTGCGCCGCCTGTTGCTTAAAGTGCTGCATTTGTGGCTTCTGGCTGCTTGAGAAGTTCATACGCTTCCTCAACCACAATGCCTACACTGTGGTGGCCATCGAGTCCATTAACTTTTGCCCAGCCGCAGGCATTGTAAGTTTTTAAATTTAACTTATAAATTATGAATTAAATCATATGAAATATATGATTCCTTATTTTTAGGCTTGGAATGCCATGGCCACGAATGTCTTGCAAGTGGCCACCATCAACAGCGTGGGCGACTTTATTCTCTTTCTGGGAAAGGTTGTGGTGGCTGCCCTCTGTGGCCTGATTGGTATTATTATGCTCAAGGACATGCCAGGACTAAATTTCTACATGGCCCCCGTCATACTCATCATAATATTCTCATTTTTCATTGCTCACATTATTTTGTCGCTGTTTGAGGTACGTTTTTATGTTAATTTAATTTGAAAAGAACATTAAACTAAAATGTTTTCATATAGATGGTGGTGGACACCCTCTTCCTGTGCGTCTGCGAGGACAAGACCATCAATGGTCGCTCAGGACGCTGGGCCCAGAGCAATCTGGCCAAGCTGGTGGGCGAGGAACCACTACAGCCCGGCGAGGAGCCACCCATTCAGGTGGTGGAGATGATGCCCATCAACAAGCAGCCCTTCAGTATTACACGACTCCCACCCTCTGATCCCGAGGTGGCGCCCATGTCGCCAGAGTAGCTTCAAAAGCCGCAGCTAGGCCCGAAACTCAACGCACATCTCATTCTAGGATGCTAATATTTATATATGTTTAACCATAACTCCCGTCGCGACGTACAAAAAGCAGACCAGTAATACCTTGTAACCTTGTCTATATTGATATTCAAACTTAGGAGGCACCGTTTTTTAAAAGTATTTATATAAAGTTTGTAATCGTTTTTTGTATCTAAATGTATTTTACATGTATTTTTTTTTAAACCTTTTTCACACGTTTTGCAGCCTTTGCCTTCTTCTGCTCGATCACCTCCTTGACGGCCTTCAGTTGCTTCTCCTTGATCTTCTTGGTTAGCGCTGCCTTGGGTGTTTTTGTGGCATTGTCCTGCTTCTTCTTCTTGGCTATGGCGGCCAGGATCTTGGCCGTCTCAATGGGATCATCGTCCTCGAAAAGCTCCTCGTTTTCAATGCCTTCGTAGGCCTGTACAGGTCGCGTGGCCTCTTGCTTTACCTTCTGCTCCACTCGGTTTACGTACTTGTCCTTGGCTGCCTTCTTTAGGAGCTGTCGCTGCTTGGCGGGACTCACATAGTCGGGATTCTCCCAAATGGTCTTGCCCGTAAACGAGCCGTCGAATATTTTCACGGGATTCATCACATAGCGCGGTCCCACCTCGGACAGGCCACCGTCTTCAGAAAGAATCTGGAAGTTCCGGAACCAGATGCGGTTGTCCAGGTAGGTGAAGGTGAAGACATGGTCCACGAAGGGCTGGCTCTTGGGATGATGGTTAGGCACCGAGTAGGTCTGTACGAACAGCTCCTTGAGCAGCTTCAAATGCGGCAGCTCATCAAACTTGGAGTCGAAGGAGAGCAGGGGCCGGGATCCGCGCAAGCAATTGCCCGTCATCTTGAGCTCGGCCATTGTGTGGATGTTTTCGATGAGGAACTTGGCCGACGGCCCGGTGGCTCCCGATGTATTGGACACCCACATGTACAGGTCCCGCTTACGCCGGCCCTCGAAAAGCATGGCCTTGTTGCAGTGCTTCATTTCGCACATTTCGTTGACCACCGACAGGGTCTTGGAGCGCTCCATCTTGGACTCGGGGCGGTGGTGTGGCATCAGGGTTTTAATGTCCCGCATAAGATGTCTGTCTCGGTGGCTGATGCCGCGGGCGGCGAAGACCAGAACGCGTTGCTTGTTCACCCATTTTTCCTGCAATTTTAAATAAAGGGTTTTGTTAGGGAATCATCAGGGGTTTTTAGAACTTACCTTCTTTGGCACCGCCTCGTCGGAGGACCTCTGAGGGGGCAACGGAGGGTTTTCATCGAGCGGCACAATCTCCAGCTGCTGGACCTTCTGTTTCTTTTGGAATTTTCGGCCCATTGACTTGGTTTATTTAATTAAAACAACTTTTATAAAAGAGAGTAAGCGAAACAACGTGTTTTCAAAATGAAAACAACCAGGGATGGCCTCTTGAACAAACCCAGGGTGCCAGCAGCACGTGCTAGAGTGTTATCGTACATTATCGATAGTATGTTTCAGCCCTGGTCAATTAATAAGTTCTATGCGATAGTTTTTGAATTTGAATTAAAACAATATGAATATGTACTTTCTTTATTATATTTCATTTATTAAATTATTAAAAATGTTATACAAATTGTTACATTAATTTATTAGCTTAAAGCCTTACTTATTACCTTTTTTTTTATTTTTTTAGGTAACACCTCAAATCTGTGCCATGTGCTCTATATCCTCCGCTTATTAATCCTCCTCATCCTCTAGTCCTGGTTCAGGACACAATCGGCATCTGCTCTCGTTAATGCCATTCGCGCAGTTTTCTCCCACGCACTCGCAGCAGCCATCAAAAAACCATCTATAGCTAGTGGCTCCTGCCTTGAGACATGTTTGCCGGCACCTGTTCCAGGATGTGCATTGGTCCAGATATAGAACAGTGCAGTTTAATTTTAATTCATCATCGACTGGAAATGTATCCACGCTCCAATGGCAGGTGTATCCGTCACTGGGAGATGAGGCCATGGCCCGAAACAAAGCTGATACTCCTTCAAACTCCTCGGTATGCGATTTCTTTTGCAATTCTGCCAGGCCAGCAAAAACGATTTGCAGAAATGAAAGAGTAAATAAGATTTTCACCGGTAACAGCATGTTGGAAAGCCAATTGTAACTGAATTTGGATGAGCTGTGGGCTGGTGGTTTTAAGCTGAACAGGTAGAAAATATGTTCAAGCAGGTAGTGGGGAACTATAACAGATGTCTCTCCAAGGGGTTCTAGGGATTATCTAGATTGGGTTATAACCCGCAATTTCAGGCGGTACTTAACCCTTTTACTGTTTTCTTATTTTTTTGAGAAGAATAGAAAATTAAAACCGTTTTTTTAATGTGACCAAAGTAGAAAGGCAGGAAAATGCGTCTGAGCGCCAAGAAAGCCGGTTGCTGAGGATTCCTACTTCTCATTGTACCACCTGCCTTTCTCCTGTTTTGCCAACAGAAAATCAACAATAGTTGATGGGAAAAACTTTTCTACATTCGTTTTTTTTCATTTCCAAAAAGATAAATGATAGCAAAACCGAAACAAAGGCCAAGAACTAGAACATCACGGCTTTGGCATTTTACTGGCAACCCAATACGTCCCTACTGTTTTTATGTATACGTTGGCGTCAAACGAAAAAAGTAATTTTGCAAAAAAGAAGTGCTAAAGTGCTGAAAATTGGCAACCGCAAACATAGAGAAGATAAGCAGAAAAACCATGTCAGACTATCGCTCCCAATCTCGAGGCGGCGGACGTGGCCAAGAGTACTCCAACGATGACGATCCGCCGATGTCCCGCCTGTTCATCATTTGCAACAAAGGCCACACAGAAGAGGATTTCCGCGAGGCATTCTCGCCATACGGCGAAATTGAGGACATCTGGGTGGTAAAGGACAAACACACCCAGGAAAACAAGGGCATTGCCTACGTCAAGTTCTCCAAGACATCCGATGCGGCCAAAGCCCAGGAAGAGATGAACGGCAAGACAATTGGCAAGATGGACCGTACGCTCAAGGTTCTGGTGGCAGCAAAGTAAATTACAATCTCTTCGGCGAATGTAAAACACGAACTCATTATCTTTTCTATTTTTAAAGTCGCAACCAGGGCTCGAATAAGTCTGAAAACGAGCAAGAGAAGTACGTGAGACTGTTCATTGTGATTCCCAAGACGGCCACCGAGGACGATATACGCGACGAATTTGCCCAGTGGGGTGAGGTGGAATCGGTGACCATTGTCAAGGAGAAGAACAACGGCAACCCCAAGGGCTTTGGCTATGTGCGCTTCACCAAGTAAGTTTTGATAACAGCATGAACAATGATTAGGATGTGACTAATGTTGCAATTTAAATCTCATTTTTAGATTCTATTATGCCGCTGTGGCCTTTGAGAGCTGCTCGGCCAAGTACAAGGCTGTGTTCGCCGAGCCCAAAGGCTCTACGCGGACGCAACGCGATCAATACGGTCGTCCTGCTGATGACAATCCCCTGTACAGCGGATCTGGACGCGGCGGTAGCTCTAGCTTTAATGGCGGCGCCGGCAGTGGTGGAGGTGGCGGCAGCGGCGGCAACAGCTTCAACAACGACTGGAATGTATCGGTCAACAATGACATGTCGGCCTTTTTGCGCATGCAGAATGTGCCGGTGGCCCAGCCATCGTGTCTTGAGGTGACCGTGAGCAATTGCGTTAACCAGGACCAGCTGTGGCGCCTTTTCGACATCATTCCCGGCCTCGACTACTGCCAAATTATGCGCGAACGTAAATTTATTTGTTAGTATGTCCATTTTAAACTGAAACTAATGGCTGCATCTTCAACAGATGGTCCCCGCACCAATGAGGCTCTTGTGGTCTACGATAATCCCGAGGCAGCGATATATGCCAAGTGAGTTTAATTATTGATTTGCAGATTTTTACAAAATTAACTTTATTTTGTATTATTTTTTATAGGGACAAACTTCATGGACTGGAATATCCCATGGGCGAGCGCATTATTGTTAAAGTCAATGGCATGAGCTCGGCTAGAATGGACACCTCCTTTATAGACAGTAAGCTAAGCTGCTCTAAACTCCATTTTTGGGAATCTTTTCATTAAAATGATTTGATTTATTTATTTATCTCCTTTAGAGCGCACCAAAAAGGATGCCATCTGCAATGTGCCTTTGCCACCCACACAGCCTCTTGCCTCGCCCGATGAACAGGTTGCTCAGCGACTGTTTATTGTTCTCTCAGCTGTAGGTTTAACCTCTGTGGTGCATCGAATCGACAGTACTTTTAATTAATTTTTCCCTTGTTTCAGAATTTGCCACACTCGATTTTGAAGAATATATTCTCCTGCTGGAGGGGCCTCATTGATGTCTACCTGCTGCCCAACAAGAACTGCGGTTATGTCAAGTACTCGGACAGCGAGAGCGCCCAAGAAGCCATACATGTGCTCAATGGAGCCGAGATTTGTGGCACTAAAATAAAGGTATAAGCTCTTCTTTGCTAGCAATGAAAATGGAAACCTTATTCCACACTTTTATTCCAGGTAATGGAGGCTGAGGAGCGCAGTGGCTCCGATGGCGACGACGGAGGACGCAAGCGGCTAAGGCGGAACTGAGTGGTAAGTGCCATTAGCCCTGATGCTAACATCCAGAATCTGTATTAATGTAGCCATAGTTGGAATGAGTATGTTTGTGCCGCGTGGTCCGAGGTAAGTAGTTGTGTGTAAATTCAAAAAAATAAATACCAAAACCATTTAACAATTTCAAAAACGACAAAGACAGTTTGTTCTGCCCAGAGATTAGTAGTACTTACCCCGAGCACAGTGGACCACGACCAACTGAGCGAACATAATAAGCCAAGGCATTTTTATCTTTCTATCTCCACAGACCCACTGACAACAACAACAAAGAACTAACAGAGAACGCTAAGTACGAGTACGAAACTAACTTGAGAGAACAAAAACAGTCCAATAAAAACAGTTCAACTGACCGCAACAGCAACTAAAAACCAAACAACAACAAAAACAACCACCCAAAAAAAAAAAACACTCTAAACGGAATGCCACAAAAAACTTCGCTGACATTGGACGAAGCCGGAGAACGAAGAACGCAACGGAGACAGGAGACCGGAAACGGAGACCGGTGACCAGCGACCAGCGACCGGAGAACATTTAGCCCCGTAACCGTACTCGTACCATTGACTTACTCAAGTGGGCTCGTAGCCAGACCCCTCTTAATGACCTTTAAACGAAGCCAACGAAACCGCAATGCTTGCTCTATGACGTACTCATATTTATAGCAAAAACCGATGATATATAGAGGAGACTTTACTGTGTTTACCCACTATTATTATTATTATTTACTAACGTATTCCGACAAGATCCAGCTAAGCAATGAATTTTATGTGTAATGAGTGTCTCAAGAATAACCTCACGAACTAGCCGTGCATACATTAAAAAAACATATATTTTTACATATATGGAAAATAATATTTAAATGATAATTTACCTTGTAAGCTCTGAAATTCATATATACATATATATATACATAAAAATAAATGGTTGAAAGCCCAAATATATGAATGGAAACGATAAAATATATAATGTGGTTTTATTTAAGGGGTTATCCGGGTTTTGAAATTTCAAAAAATGCATTTTTTTCAAACTTTTTTATATAATAGTACAAAGTGTCAGGAATGTTGTCCGAAAATTTCAAGTCGATCGAAGCAAAACTGTAGGAATGGGAGAATTTTAAAGCCCAGCGCGTCGTATGAGTCACAACTGGCAATTAAAACTTTAAACGCGTTTTTCTCAAAACCACTTTCTTGAAGTCGGTAGTCAAGATTTCTCGAAAACTACTGGACCGATCGACTTCAGAATTTCCACACTTCTTCTAGACATGTTTTTCTTGTCTCTGAACGAAGGATTTTTTATATCTTCAATTACAACCGATTTTATAACCCAAAATATGGCCAAAATTGACGTAAAAAGTGACATTTTTCATGAAAAACGCTCCCAAAAATTCAATATTTAATTTTTTAAAAAATCCTTCGTTCAGAGACAAGCCATACACATAAGCTAACAGAAAAATTTTGGTTTTTTGATTTCAAATAAAAATTGACGGAGAAATCCTGCCTACCGCAAGGACATAATTTTTTTTAGGGTTAAGTTCAACCCTCCCTCAACGGCTCATTTGTGAATATTTCTTGTTCAAAATTTTACAGAATTTAGTTCAAACCTTATGTATTAATGTAGAATAAATGAAATTTGCAAGAGTGTCATAGGATCATTTAAAAAAATTCTGGAAAATAGGCCTTTTTTTGTGGTTCTAAACCCGGATAACCCCTTAAGACAAGGGAGGTGGTAATTTGGTTAATATTTTATGTTGTGAATATTTTAGGTCTTGAGTTAAGTTATTAAAAAAGAGAATTACTACTTATATTAATATATATTCAATTCAACAAGAAAGAAAGCTAACTTTGGCCAGCCAAAGTTTGTATACCCTTGCAGGTAACAATTAAAATATATCATAACTAAGGCAAAAATGCATTAATTTCGATTCGGAAAGCAGTTTTGTGTTGGTTTTTATTAATTTAAAAAAACTGCATACCAAATTTAAAATTTTAAGAAATCAAAATTTTTGGCCATTTTTGCTAATTTTAATGATGTAACCCCTTATCAAATTTCGCAAAATTGGCCAAAAAATCGATTTCTTCCGGACATGTCCAGAAAGATTCGCATGTTAATGCTGATCAAGAATATATATGGTTTATGGGGTCGGAAATGATTCCTTGACTTAGAAAAATATTATTTTGTATTATAAAATCTGATTTTTCTGCCATTTTCTCCCAATAATGCAAAATAGCTAGATGAGCATCACTAACAGCTAGTGACATGCAATTTTCTACCAATAATGAAAAAAAATAGCTAGATGAGCATCACTGATGCACATGAGCATCACTGCCATTAAGCCCGACTTTGTTGCCCCCCAAAATTGAAATATAGCCAGATGAGCATCACTGATGGAGATGAGCATCACTGATGCAAGTGAGCAAATTTTTCAATTGGATTTGGCCGCTTTCCAAACTGGGGTAACAGGCGAACAGAAACCAGCAGCAAGCAACTGAAAACTGGTATAAACTGTTATAAAAACTTTTGGGCAAAAATAATAATTGGTATAAACTGCTATATTTCATTTTATGCATTTATACCTATTTGTTGCCGACAACAACAGCTTGATGGCAACAACAACCCCTTTACAACAACATCCCTACAGCAGCCCATACAAATTTCTGAAATTTTCCAAGCAAATTGCCCGTTTCCCAAATTGGGGTAACAGGCGAACAGAAACCAGCAGCAAGCAACTGAAAACTGGTATAAACTGTTATAAAAAGTCCAAGTTTCGAACCATTGATCTTGGAGTAAGCGAAGACTCAAACCAGATGTGACCATATTGTAAAGTTTTTGGCTAAAATGTTGCTTAAATGCACCTGGGCACACTTTAGAACATTTAAATACCAAAATCGATAGACTGATGACACCAACTATCGATATTAACAACCAGAGCGGAAACATCGACGCAACCGATAGTGTTATCTATGAACTCCCATCCCTAGCACAGCTGAGCTGGAATTTTGTTTAGATTTAGCAAGTTGTTGATATAAGGACACAGAAACCCCTTTTTTCTCATTAGAAAGTAAATAAAGCTCCGGAAAAATGGATCCAGCACTGCTTCGGGAACGCGAGGCCTTCAAAAAGCGGGCCATGGCCACGCCCACGTGAGTTCCAAGGACTTTTCCCTTGCTAAAGATGGATTGCAACTTATTGAAACCACCTTAAAACTTTCAAAACAGCGTTGAGAAGAAGACAAAGACTGAACGCCCGCCACCGCCGCCACCCAGCGATGACTCTAAGCGAAAGATGCGTCCGCCCACGGCTCCCAAGCTGGATGCCACAACGTGAGTTTGAAACGCACACTTTGCAGGGTTTGGATGTGGGATTTACCATGTGGTGCACATGCACATATATCATCCGCAGGTATAAGACCATGTCGGGCAGCTCGCAGTACCGCTTCGGAGTGCTGGCCAAGATCGTGAAATTCATGCGCACCCGTCACCAGGATGGGGACGATCATCCACTGACCATTGAGGAGATTCTGGACGAGACCAACCAACTGGATATAGGGCAATCTGTGAAGAATGTAGGTGGTTAAGCGGAAGGTCCTTTATTTTATATGATATGTGATATGTAATCCCTTCTAGTGGCTTTCTGGCGAAGCTCTGAACAACAATCCCAAGATAGAGGCCAGTCCCTGTGGCACCAAATTCAGTTTCAAGCCCGTCTACAAGATCAAAGATGGCAAAGCCCTGATGCGGTTACTTAAACAGCACGATCTGAAGGGTCTGGGTGGAATCCTGCTGGAGGATGTCCAAGAATCTCTGCCGCACTGCGAAAAGGTTCTGAAAAACCGAGCCGCTGAAATATTGTTTATTATTCGGCCGATTGACAAAAAGAAGATATTGTTTTACAACGACAGAACGGCAAACTTTTCGGTAAGATTTTCTTCAATTTTAATAAATGTTTTTATTGCTTAAAATTAAAAAAAAACTAGCTCTGTAACGCTTCTTATTGAATTTTATGTTTTTTTCGCTTAGTTATGTTTTTTTTAGACTTTCTGAAGGATATTTTAATTTTTGTCAGTGAAGGAATCATTTCCGACCCTATAAATCATATATATTCTTGATCAGCATCAACAGGAGAGTCTTTCTAGCCATGTTAGAAAAAAAATAAAAATTTTAAATTTTTTGAAAAAAATGTAAGGGGTTACATCATTAAAATTCCCAAAAATTGAGAAAAATTCGAATTTCAAAAAATATTAAATTAAATATGCAGATTTGTAAATCTAATAAAACCCTACACAGAACTGTTTTCCAATTTAAAATTAATGCATTTTTGAAATAGTTATGATACTTTTAAATTTCGAATTTTGGCTTTCCGAAGATATTTTCCTTCTTGTTGATATTTGGCTTAGGTTTTTTGTTAAGGAAGTTTTTAAGCAAATAATTTCCCCAGATTTAAAAAATGCTAATAACTACAAAGAAACTGCTAAACTACTAAATTCCATTTTTTTAAATAACTTTCTTTCAGGTTGACGATGAATTCCAGAAGCTATGGCGCTCGGCCACCGTCGATGCCATGGACGATGCCAAAATCGATGAGTACCTGGAGAAGCAGGGTATTCGTTCTATGCAAGATCATGGCCTCAAGAAACCAGTTCCCAAGCGCAAGAAGGCGGCCAACAAGAAGCGACAGTTTAAGAAGCCCCGAGACAACGAGCATTTGGCCGATGTTCTGGAGACCTACGAAGACAACACGCTAACGCTGAAGGGAGTGAATCCCACGTAGAAGTAGAGTACGCTAAGATTAGACAATAAAAATAACTCTCAATGGGGGGAATATAAGTACATTTGAAGTTTGGCCATTATAAATTTCTTCACAACTACAGCCGATGGAGATTTATGAAACCAGATAGCCAGCTGGCAGTGGCTTTGAACTTAAAAAATACGACGCCAAGAACACACTGTGAAAAAGATAATTAAAAAGCAAAACTGTGTAATCTTGTCACAGCAGCAGCAGCAGCGACTGGTCGATGCTAGTGGGCACTGCTGCTGATAAAACTGGCTGCCGAGGGAAGCCATAGCCTCAGTTTTCATTGAACAGCCCCCAAGTCCAGTCCCTGTCAGCAGTTGCAATTGATTCACAAGTACGCGCGGCTTTGGAATATTAACCTAAAATTCACATAACAGGCTTTGGTTTGATTTTGTGGCGGCGGATTAGGTCATCCTTGTTTGGGGGTTGTTGGCTACGGAATATTGTTATTAAATATTAGGGGACCACAACTATTACATACTCCATTGCAAAAACTTTGCTTTTGTGTGCCGATAAGGAATGAATCAGACCGGAAATAGACAAATAAATAATTTTAAAAAATAATAATAATTTTAATATATAATTTTTTTTATTTTATTTAAAAATAAATAATTTTTTTCTTTTTTGTTGTTTAATTTTCTTATATTTATTTTTTATTTTAACAAATTAAACTTAATGTAGAATTAAAGATTAATTATAAATTTTCCTTTTTAAAATAATTATTTAAATTTTAAGGAAATTTCAAAATTTAAAGAAAATTCATAAGGCAGCTTAATTTTCAATAAAAGCCTTAAAATAACTCCAAGAAATACAAAATTAAACACATATTCCTTACCCCTTCACTATACCCATGCCTTAGGAAAGGGTATTCATGTGTAGACCTTCCCATTTCCCATTCGTTTGTTTACTCTGCTCGCTGATTTTCTGGCACGGACAAAATGAGCTCTCTGGTTAAGAGACAGCGTAAAAACTTGTTTTGAAATAACCAATTGGTTTAATTTAAATTCCCGAAGCATTCACCGCAGTTGGCTTTGAGAGTTTCTGCATTGAGGTTGGCAAAAATGAAGCGGAGCGGACTAGGAGCAACGCTGCTCCTGGCCCTGGTGGCCCCACTTATGGCCCACAGTTCAGAGTAAGTGGAGATTATAAAGGCTTTATTTATGGCTCAACCTTGGACCCTCACTGACTTTCTCTTTGTCGATTCTTAACCAGCAACCTGGTGGTTTACGGCTACCAGTGCCGGAAAGGCCTCTGCCAGAAGGTGGAGCTCAGCGAGCAGAACTTCGCCGAAGCCATAAGCTTGCCCGTGTGCCGGCTCTTCTGTGGCAGCTCTATTGGCACTGTTTGGCCTAAGCCCACGGGTGCTGTGCGTTTGGACTCGCTGATGCGCCAGGTGGACATATCGTTTATTGACTTCAATTTTAATGGCACCATCGTACGCAAGGAGAAGCTTTGGAAGGCGGCTGAAAACCGTTGGATGGACTTGCTGGATGCCAAGATACCTGACCGCAAGATCCTCGCCAGGGGCGGCTATCGCATGTCCGTCAACATCAATACCCCCGATGATGGGGCTCCGGCCAAACTTACCCTGGACACTGATGAGAGCTATGTCCTGGACATTGATACGGATGAGTCGGGTCATGTGCTGGCCAACATTACGGCCAATAACTTCTTTGGAGCCCGCAACGGTCTGGAGACTCTGGCCCAGTTGATAGTCTATGATGATATCAGACGGGAGGTGCAGGTGGCAGCCAACGCCTCCATCAGTGATGCGCCGGTGTACAAGTGGCGTGGATTGCTCCTCGACACTTCCCGCAACTACTACTCGGTGAAGTCGATCAAGAGGACGCTGGGTAAGGCTTGGGTTTTAAGGGGACTTCACCTGACTTATCTTGATCTTCTTTTCCCCATCCCCAGAGGGCATGGCTCTAGTCAAGCTCAACACCTTCCACTGGCATATCACGGACTCGCACAGCTTCCCCCTCGAGGTGAGCAAGCGCCCGGAGCTGCACAAGCTGGGTGCCTACTCCCAGCGTCAGGTTTACAGCCGTCGCGACGTGGCCGAGGTTGTGGAATATGGAAGAGTGCGCGGCGTCCGCGTGATGCCCGAGTTCGATGCACCTGCTCATGTGGGCGAGGGATGGCAGCACAAGAACATGACCGCCTGCTTCAATGCCCAGCCTTGGAAGGATTTCTGTGTGGAGCCACCATGCGGACAGCTGGATCCCACAGTAGAGGATATGTACAACGTCCTGGAGGACATTTATGAAACCATGTTTGGCCAGTTTGACGCCGATGTGTTCCATATGGGCGGCGACGAGGTGTCCACCAGCTGCTGGAACAGCAGTCGCACCATCCAAACGTGGATGAAGCAGCAGGGCTGGGGCCTGGAGACCGCTGACTTTATGCGCCTGTGGGGTCACTTCCAGACGAACGCCCTTGGCCGGGTGGACAAGGTGGCCAATGGCACGAACACGCCTATAATCTTGTGGACTAGCGGCCTGACCGAGGAGCCTTTTATCGACGAGTATCTGAACCCGGAGCGCTATATCATTCAAATCTGGACTACGGGCGCAGATCCCAAAGTAAAGAAGATCCTGGAGCGGGGCTATAAGGTGATTGTTTCGAACTATGATGCCCTGTATTTGGATTGCGGCGGCGCTGGCTGGGTGACCGATGGCAACAACTGGTGCTCCCCCTACATAGGCTGGCAGAAGGTCTACGATAACAGCCTGAGGAGCATTGCCGGCGACTATGAGCACCATGTCTTGGGTGCCGAGGGAGCCATCTGGTCGGAACAAATCGATGAGCATACGCTGGACAATCGCTTCTGGCCAAGGGCCAGTGCTTTGGCCGAACGGCTGTGGTCGGATCCCGTGCAGGGCTGGAGGTCGGCAGAGGCTCGCCTTCTGCTGCACCGCGAGCGGCTGGTGGAGAATGGCCTGGCCGCGGAGGCAATGCAGCCGCAGTGGTGCCTGCAGAACGAGCATGAGTGCCCCATTGATGCGTACGATGCACAAGCGGCTTGATCCGCGATTAGTAAGTCTTCCCCGATGATAATGGTCACTATTCTTGTAGTTGTAGTCTAGGTGGCGGCGGCGGGCGGCTTTGGGTGATCGTTCTGCTCCTCCTCACAGCTCTCTCCGCCTGAAATAAATCAGATTCAAGGCTCCGAAAGTGACCTTACGCAAGTGACTTGTCGTTTATTATCGTTTAGCATAAATGAGATTATTGGCCCTGTTGTGCACAACTCCGTTCCGATGTGGATGTGGCGGACGTGGAAGCGATGAAGCCTGTTCATTTCTAAACTAGTAAAATGTTTAAAGCCGTAGAAGTGTATGCTAGAATTGGGGAACATTAAAATTTCATCGATTCTGGTCGGAAACAGAGTTGGACGAGTTGTGCCTTCGTATGGGATGAGGCGGCACTGCCTCTGGGACACAACTCCGCGGACTCTGATTATGTACGTATGAGTCTAAATACTAAAAGCATCGTTCCCGAATTGGAGTGAAGTCTGCCTCTACTCGTTCCACTCCTCCTCGTTGCGTCCGAACTTGTAGACCAGGCTGGCAAACAGTATAAAAACGTTCTGCAGCAGCAGAGCCACACCAAACCAGCTCTCCTTTTTCTCTGTGGATAGATTATAACGTCAGGTCAAAGCTTAACACTTTTTTAATGGGAATTTTCTCACCATTGTTGATAAAGTCATCGATCATCACCCAGACGGCGGCTATGATGGAGGCAAAGCCCATCACAAAGCCCACTAGTAGCCAGATCTTGGCTATCCTGGCCCCGGACTCCGATGAGTTCTCTTCGGAAATCTATGCGCAGGGCAAAGAAACAAACAAACAAAAGGAGTGAGTCATTTTTCGCGCAATCTTTGACGGGTTCTTCTGCCTTACATGCTCCCCCTTGACGGCATTCACCATGCAAAAGCTGATGGTGCCGAATATTCCGATGAACACATGTCCTGTGGTTATCTGGTGCTTGCCGTCAATAGACATGGCATCGATTAGGATCCACCATCCTGCGAAAAACTGCAAAGGCGAAGCAAAAGTTGCAATGTCAGAGGGATTGGAAACTGTGCTGGTAGGGGATCCTGTTTCTCACCAGTAGGCCGGCTATGAGGGAGGAGTTTTTATTCCTAGCGGATTCAGCCGTGAAATAGGTGGCGACATTGTCCAATAAGCCCATTGTTAAGCTTTTAAAACGTAATTTAATTTATTCAGATAAGTTTTTTTGTTTTGACGCACAGGAGTGGTGGGAGGATAGTGGTGGGAGAATACTACAGGGTACTTTTTATCGATATGTCGATAGATTACGTAAAGATGGGCGTGATGAGTATTGCGTGATGTAATTTACTTCGTGAGAGATCCAAGCAAACATTAAATGCATTAAAACATTTACAGCTAGAAATTGTATAGTATAAGTACTCAAAAAGAAAGAAAATTGTTGCTATGAATAAACTACTCTTTATATTATTATTAAACGTATTTTACATGTTATCAATTCTCGTACCGTGATGTAAAATGAAAGACCTGCAGGCGGAAGTAAATCTCTACACGCCCATCCCTAGATTTATTTACATATAATGACAACCCTGGACAGGGCCCAATTAATTTTCACTTGAATTCCAGTGCTGTTGCGTGCAATCTCGCAATTCCTTATTATTTAACACCCGATCGCAGCGACACGAGTGTGTGCGTGTGGTCATTGATTAGCCAGAGATCCAGGAGTCTCCTCGCCGCCATGCTAGTCATAAATACTTGCAGGAACGCCTCCAGGCTGGCGCTCCGCAGCCTCAACCTGCGATCACCGATCGCCCAGCGCACTTTCTCGGCGGGTCTGGCCCTGAAGCAGAAAGATGTGTGAGTTTTGAATGGAGCAATACTTAGCATAAACATTGATTAATCGCCGTTTGCAGTGTTAACGTAACCTTTGTGCGGGCCAACGGAGACCGACTCAAGGCGTCGGGCAAGGTGGGCGATTCCCTGCTGGACGTGGTGGTCAACAACAGCGTGGATCTGGATGGATTCGGCGCCTGTGAGGGCACCCTTACCTGTTCCACCTGCCATTTGATCTTCAAGACAAGCGATTACGAGAAACTGCCCGACAAGCCCGGCGACGAGGAGCTGGACATGCTGGACTTGGCCTACGAACTGACGGATACCTCACGCCTTGGCTGCCAGATCATACTCTCCAAGGACATGGACGGCCTGGAGGTGCATGTGCCCTCCACCATAAACGATGCCCGTGCCGCGTAAACGGATACCTTTGTTATCTATTGTTGCAATTTTGAGTGCTAATTCGCTTTAGTTTAGTCTATATAATTGAATCAAATCGTATGTATTGTCCCAGGGACACCGAGGCTCAGGCGACTATTATAGATGCGCGTGCATAAATTCGATTCCAAAAGCGGTTTATGCACGCTGTTGTTTTTTTAAAGTGTTTAAGCTCAAAGGGATCTATCTAGATGAATATGTAAATATGTGTGTTTGCCAATAAATTTACATGTATTTTCGTAGCTCTGCGTGGAGTTTATTTATTGAATTGCAAAGATGTCAGTAAAGAGCTCAGTAAAGTCTTTGAATTCGTGAAAGACACATCTGTGTAACGCTGTCAACGCACAGAAGACCCTCGCTTTCTAAAATGAATACCAAAAAAATTTAGCTGGGGCGATGCCTTATTTATCATTTCAAGCATTACAGATATTAAATAAACCTTAAGTTAATAAAATGGTTAAAAGGTTTCTGCGTATTTTACACGAGATTGTAGCTCGGAACCCGCTTGATAATGTTTTGAAACTGCTGCTCGCCTCAATGATAAGACCAGTTTTTCTCGCTGTCAGAATGATGTTGCACTTTTTCTACGCAAAATCAACCATGAGTGGCTAGAATTTATTTAATATTTTACTCTACTCAAGCACAAACTTAGGGTATTAATCATTTGTCAGCATTTTAATCCAATGAAAGCTTGTTTAGAACTCGGAGAATTCCCAGACTAATCACATCGTTAGGCATAATCACTATTTCCAACAAACCATTTAGTTTTTTAGCACATTTTTAGTTGAGAGTCATTTAGTTCCAAAACAAAGGCTGTTATCAAAAGCAACCCGAACCAAACATTTCATCACCTTGATAAAGTTTGCATTGGCTTTGTTTGCTGTTTATTATCAGAGCGATAAGGAAAACGCCGAGTGGTTAATAAAAGTAAACTTTTTATTATTTCGCAGCTATCAAATAAAGTAATAAATAAATAATTTAATATATACATTTGCTATATTAACTTATTGTAAACGATTTTCTGCTTTTCCATGTTTGCCGCTCCATCCTTTACTTCGATATTATTAACTTGCATATGTAACATATCTGTCCGATATCAGATAGCATTGTAGTTATAACTGAAACTTAACAAGTCTGACAATTCAATTTTCGCTTCGTCCTAAAACTAGGGGGAGGCATTTAGTTGGGAAAGGAGGAAACCATTTCGGGGTAGAGGGGGGAAAATAAATAACCGAAGAATAAATAGTCAAGTTAGAGATGATGATAGGGGTGCTGTTCGTTGATACTCCCGAGAGGATTTCTGATGCATGATGGGTGCTAGGTGTGTTGGTTTTTGCTGAGTTTCTGAAGTGCACATAAAACTGATTTGGTTTTCTGTTCACGCCGATCGTCGTCGCTGATGCTGATGGTGATGATGCTTCCCAGATCCCTGATCCCGATTCCAGATTAGTTCACATAGGCCATGCCCGCTCCCTTGCGGTCAAAGTGGCGCACGCGGACGAACAGGAAGGCGGCGACTAGAGAGGCCACGGCCAGGACGAGCAAGAGCATCACCAGACCGCCGACAAAGCTAGGCACCGACATACAGATGGTCTCCGCATCTGCGGTGCGGGCCGACTGGATCACCACCGTCTCGTTGCTGGCATTGCTGTTCAGCGCAAAGTTCACATCGCCGGGCGCCACCACCTGGATGATCCGGCTGGTGTTCACGTCCGTCATCTCCTGCGCATTGCGCTTGTAGATCCTCTGAGGCTTCATCACAATGTCGATGGTGTCGCGGCGCCTTCGCACGCCCCGCAGATCGTCCAGTCCCTCCACAGACCTAGGGCGTCCGCCCAGCGAGACCAAGTTACCGCCGGCACTCAGGTCATCCTTGCGCTTCACCGTGCTGTACTGACCACCCTGTCCGGGCAGTGGTGGTGGCGGTAGACCCAGCTCGTTGCTGCCCGATGGCTGCGCCCCCTGCGGCGACTGAGAGCTGGCGGGTCCAGATGGTGAGGCAGAGTCCGCAGTGGGAACCGCCGCCGAGGTCTGGGCCTGTGGCGAGGGCACCACATCATCATGGTTCTCCGAGTAAGCGCCCGTGGCATCCGAAGCCGGGTGACGTGGATCAGGATAGGCAGCAGGTGGCAAGACTCCTGGACCGCCCAGGGCAAAGTCGTTCCGTTCGTAAGCTTCCGGAGGTCCATACTCCTCGGAAAGACCATTGGCTCCAATCTGGGGTAGACCATACTCGCCGCCTGGCAGGCCAGGACCGCACTTGGGCTCGGGGCAGTTGTAGCGGCAGACCTGGATCACGCACTGGAAGTGGACGTTCATCGAGTCGGGGAACTTGAAGGCCTGGAAGTAGGCAAAGCTGACCACGGAGGCGGACGGGCCAAAGTTCTTGATCTTCTGGAACTTGCTCATGATCTTGGGACGTACGACGCAGCCGTTTTGGTCTACCAGCTGGATGGGAGCCCGCTTGCCGTCATGAGCCACACAGTTGCGCACCAGCATATCGAACTTGTTCTCGTCGTCCTTAATAGCCAAAACCATGGTCATCGTCTGACCAATCTTCACGATACCAGAAACCTCGGAAGCCCATGGGCCCTTGCCCACCTGAATTTGCATCCAGCACTGGAGGTTGTCGCCCAGGAAATTGGCGGTAACGGCATGCAGCATGTCCACCTGGAAGGGCCTGAAGGTCACAGCCTTCTCGTAAAAGTCGTACCAGGTGCAGCGCAGCTTGCGGGCCTGATCCCACACCTCCTGGACATAGGGATCGTACTGGATGATGATCGTGTTCTCCACATAGCTGCCCGACGGCGTTGGCGCTCCGTAACCGGCCGCATTGTGGTTAGCCGAGCTGGTCATGCCGCAGCTATTCAGGAAGATCTCAAAGGTGGCGCTCAAGTGGCCGGTGCCGGGCTTCAAGTGGACGCAATGGGGATCGCTGTAGAAGCCCTTGGAGAAGATCATGCCGTAGAAGGGCCGGTCGAACTCGATGTTCACCCGCATGTGTGTCTTTTCGCACTGCACCTGGAGGTGCTTGATTTGCGGACTGTCATTGGTGCTGGCCAGAGGCCAGGCCTCTTCGGACAGCTCGTTGGTGGCTCCGGTGCTCAGTGGACCCTGGGGCGCTCCGTAGATAGGCGCCGGTGGGCCATAGCCGGCCCTGTGTTCCAGTGGCAAGGCGGCGGACTCGATGTGGGAGGCGTCGCCGTGAACGGACAGGTGCTGTGGGAAGAAAGGGAGAAGAGGTTGGTTTAATAAAGATTAAGTTAAATATTAAAGAAAATATTAGTACTAAGAAAATATTAAGTAAATCCCAGATAGAATTACTTAATTATATAGTTTATATTATGTAATAATTTAACACTGCTTATGGAACTCACACTGCGTGTGAGCGATATTAAACCTGAAGAATATCACTCATACGTAGTGTTGTTCATCAGTTTTAACAAAGACAAAGTCATTCCCCTTTTTCCAACGCAATAATGTTAAAATAATGCCACCCCCCATAAACGTTTCGATTATGGCCTAGGTTATGGCTCAGAGATCTGAGGATTGCGGAAAGCTCTTTATCTAGGCTTGGCTTGCGCCGGCATTTAATTGGGATTTTTGGAGCTATAAATATTATGCAATAGCAATCTCCGCCAGACAACGACGACGGCGACATTTCGAAAGAAGAAGCGATGCGAAGCGTTGAAAATGACACGACAGCTGGAGCTTGAGCTGGAGCTCTTGTGTTTTGAAATTAAATGGTTGCCAGAGCGGCACGCTTACCCAAAATTTAAGAAAGAAAGAAGACAAAATAACAAAAATTGAAAGCACAGAGCTTAACCCATTGCGTAAGACAACGGAGACAGAGACGTAGCCGGAGACGAAGACTTTCTTCTTTGGAGCACCCGCCCTGCCCCGCCTCGCCTCGCATTTGGTTCATAATTTTTTATGGGTTTCTGGCTGCACACGGGAAGCGGATGTGTCCCACGAAAACCGAAAGTTAAATCCAACACGATGACGGTGTGGATTTTTCCGTGGGCTGCTGTCGCAGCAGTCGCTTTTTCTCCTGTTTTATTTGTATTTCTCGGGTGTATGTCTTTCTTTTTATTTCTTCTCTTTTTTTTCGGTGGCCGGTGACCACGCGCTGAGAGATGTCGTGAGATGATTTTGAAAGTGAAATGACCAAAGAAAAACAAGCTGAACAAACAAACAGCTAAACAAACAACGCCAAGAAAAAAAGTCTTTCTTTTTTCGGACATTCCACGCAACGAGGCGATGGAGATATCAATATAAACACATCGATGGACCGATCGATCGATCGTTGGCGATGGCATTGGTAATTTTTCTTCTCTCTTTTTTTTTCTGCAGGCATTTCACTGCCGCAGAAGCAGAAGAAGAAAACTGACAATAAATAAATAATAAAGCAATCTCTGTGAATTAATGCGCCATAAACAAGAAAGTCAAAACTGGTACAAATCAGAGCATAACTGCAATTTCTTCGCCGCCTCAGCACCCAGAGAGAGACACGCAGTTTGGTTAGCCAACTATCCAGCTATCCATCTATCCATCTGGCCAAGTGGCGGCGGGCTCTTGGCCAGCTTTGCGTTTTCCTTGACGTGATTGCTGCAGCAGCAGCAGCAGCAGCCTCTAAGACGTGATTGATGCGCTTTAAATAACCCACTGAAGGCTGGCTCTCTGGCTCTTGGCAAGGGGAAAAACAGTTTGGCTTTGGCCATGCTTATCAATCGAAAGCGCCACGGCAGCCCCAAGAAATCGATCAGATTTATGAACGTTTCTAATATTGATTGACAGCCAGCTACGGTGGCAAGTCCTAAGGGGTGGTATTTAGTTTGGGAAAAAAAATCATTTAACTTGGGGTTTAGCGGGGAAAATTATTTTAAAGGATTTCGGAAAATTATTTGTAAAAATATTTTACAAACAAGTAAGAGTTTGTTTATTTTTTCAGAATTTAGAAAACATTAAACTTCGTAGACAAATATTGGTGATTTTATAATCACCCCCTCAAAATATTTTATGCTGCCTCCTCTGCTCTGTTAATCCTCTGTTAAAGTCTCTGCTCTTTTAAGATCGCTAAAGCTAATGCACTTGTTCCCCCCATATTTCTCCACCTGTTTCTCCCCGCTCCCAGTGAATTCTCCAAGTCTAATTGCAATGATTAGCAAAGTGCCGTTCAGTTGTTAGCTACATTTTCCGTCTCTCTCCACTAAACTACGTCTGGTATTAATATTGATATTGATATTGATCTGCTAGCATCAGCGAACCGCTATATAGTCTTTGGAACCCAATCAATCCATCAATAGGCACTGGAACTCGCACTGATTTGCATTCGAATTGCTATTGATCGAACGGTAGTCCATCTCCCGACTCTCGACGAGTCGAAAGTGAAGAGATCCGCTAGAGGTTGGGTCCGCTGCATACGAAATGAGCTGGTCCAAAGTGGGCCAATCTTCAGGTGTTTTTCTCCTACTCTCCGGCTAACTAACTGTTAACTACAGTGGCGTTTCCCTCGCCCAGTTGAAAAAAGAAGATGCTTTGAGGAAACACCTTCCGGAGATTTATAGATCTCCCACTCACCTTTGTGTTGAGTACCAGGCACAGTACTATGGCCAGCAGGCTGCTGCGTCGCGTCAGGTGTCCCATTTTGATCTGGTTCTCTGTGTGTGTTGAATTTGAAATTCCAAATTGTCGCCCTGGAAACCAAAAAAAATGTGGATTTTTGGTTTGTCTTCCCTCTGCCTCGTCTCTCCTTCACTCGGGCGCTGCTTTCTTCGCTCAGTAGTGTGTTATTGGTGTTGTTTCTGCAAGAAAAGAAAGGGGAACAAGGGTAAACAATGCTGCGGATTCTAAGATTTGCATACGAATATGATTTTTGAGGCCATACAATTGGCATGCGATGATGCTAGTAAAAGAACAGGGTGTTGAGATGTTAACAACAGCAGTTTAAACAGTTGTAAACTGTGGTTTTCGTTTCAAGAAATACACTGTTATTCCAAAATTGCCGAAAGCTGTATTATTTTCTTACACTTTCTTCGTTTAGTTATCAAATTAAACATTTATTATGCACACATCACCCAGGATTTACAAATATAATCCAACAGTTGGCTTTATGACCATCATTAACTGGCCAAATTAATGGCCACAATTGCCAGTTTTCTTGCTCATAGTGTCAGCTAGCAATATACACACACACACACACGCCAAGAAAAACTGCATTTTATGTAAAGCAAATGAAAACTCGCGCGCACCAAACAGGAACCACTTTCTATTTTCACTATAACAGTACTCCTCCAGCTGAAGAGACAACTCCGAGACCGAGTCCAAGTCCGACTCTGAGTTGGGAGACCCACGAAGACGCCAACGCAGTGGTGGCAGTGGCAGGTTTTCCACACAGTGGCTGCACTTTACGAGCATCCATTAATTTTTGAGTGTTTTTGTGGGGCTGTGAGGGGGGGGGCTTACATTGTTAACAGTGGCACTCTAGCATGACAAGGCTGTTAGCCGGGCCTAACAGCGATACTAGGAGCTAAGCTTTACAGTCCGCGCGTTAACAGCAAGCTACAGTGGGACGGATTGGACTTGCGTCTGCGTCCGCTTGCCGATAAAGACTGACAGCTTTCACAGCGGCTCGCGCTGGAGCTGCTGCTCCGCTGCCGCCTTGGAAAAGTAAGCGGTCTCTGCCGCGAACGCATTTCACTTGCTCCGGAGAGCAGCTCTCCCGCTTCTTCTTTTTTGGACTCCAGCTCAGGGTGAATGCTTTTGGCTGGCAGTTTTTACTTTTACAGACGCCGCATACATATACATATATGACTTTGGCCCTGGCCAGGTCTTCTTCGGAACACATGTAAATGGGTTTTTAACAAGCGGCGGCCATAAAATCCATGGAGTTGGAGAGCCTCAAGAGCCTCAAGAGAAGCGGCGCCGCCACAAGAAACCGGCTTGAGCTTGGCGTTGAGCAAGTGTACCATTAACCCACTGAAACAGTAACGGACACCGCCGCCAACTTTGCCGGGAACTCTGTTTTGGAGGAGGCAAATGCTAGGAGGAGGAGGAGGGGGAGTCGGAGGAGGAGAGGGTGTCGGAGTTCAGCAGTGACCCTATGCCCGGATCGCATTATGCAATCTTGCGGTTTCTCTTTGGTTTTATTTTTACTAATTTAATATACAAACTAAAGATGGTAAAAGTCATCGACTTTGAGCGTTCTTTTTGGGAGAGTTTCTTTGACAAAAGTTTTTTTTATAAACAAGGGATATTTTTTAGAAAGGAAAGATAGATAAAAAATATGTACGTTTAACTTTTTTAAGATTTTAAAATGTATATAAAACTCAATCTAAAATCTTTGTACATTTTCTGTTTATGAAATGAAATCTTAAAGCAGATTTTAAACTTTAAAATCGTGCATATATAAAGCCATACAATAAATCCCAGAATCAACCTATATAATGCTAATTTTAGCACTAAAAACTGTAGATTTTAATCTCAAATCAAATTCCAAATTCTCTCTTGTTCTTTTCAAGTCTAGATTGCCTTGTTCCTAGGTCAATGGTAAATATCCAACACCTTACCGATTTCATCTAAGATATTTCTTGTAAAATTGCCAAATTCTTGTCTCTTTTGTTTCTTTCTATTTTTTGGGATGCTCTTTACCATTTAACTGTTGTTCGTTGGCTTGGAGTGGGTAAATTTTTATTTGATTTCCTCGGCCACTTTCTTCCCTAGGAAATGGCCAGAGATTTGCATATAAAACTAGAAAACTTCAGCAATTAGCAAAAGAGGCGGCGAAATTTCGTTGGTTATTTATTCTTCTCCCAGTTTTTTTGTATATTTTTATTTGCTAATTGCTGGCACCCGAACAAATAAGAAATTCCTTATCAAGCGGCTTCAATCGCTGACAAAGAAGACAACAAATGCTTCTGCCTCGGCAGCTGATGGAGCTTGTTTAATGCTCATTGTTGTTGTTTCTGTTGTTGTTATGTGTAACTGCCAAATGGAATTGTTTATTGTTGCCGTTTGGCAAGTGAAAGTTTTCTTCTCCGACAGCGTCTGCTACTCCCTCTCCTTCTGCCAAGATGCCGCATATAAGGGCATGCATACATATACTATTTCGTATCTTAGCCTCTGCCTTGCCTGGTTTTGTTTTCTTTTTTAATTAACACAATAAAAGTTATTTGCCCAGCTAGAAACTTTTGTTTTCAACTAATTAGCTTATGATCTGCAGCTCAGCAAATCATGTGAAAAGCATTCGCTTGGCTCCAAGTGAAAATTCAATGAAAAGTCGTGGCAGGAAAGTTGCAGCGATGTCTCCTCCAATTGATTGAATGACAATGCGTGACGCCGCTGGCTGCTGCTGGCCATATGACTATATATATACTATCATATATAACTGGTCCAATGGAAACTAGGTGAACCACACTCGGCACTCACATAACTCGCGGTTCCATCGATCGTTCGTTCTAATTCTCCGTAATTTACGTGGCTTACATTTGGAGCCCGATGAGCCGGATATTGGCTGGGAATTGTTGCCAGGATTTGAATCTCTGTCTCTAAATAGCAGCTTACATTTCCTGTCCTTGCTAAAGTAAACATGTAATTTGGTAAATTACTTAAATTACTGTGCCAAAAGTGGGAGGTTGTCGCACCTTTTGGTTGCACTAATTCGACAATAACTCTCATTGGGAGTTGCGCATTCCTTTGCCATGAACATCGATTGTCAATTAAAAGAAAAATTGGAAAAAAATGAAAACGAAATTGCATTGCCAGTAATTATTTATCAGCTTCGACTGCATTTTATATATTTTTCAGCTTTTTGGCATTTGCCAAAACGGCCGCAGCGGCGAGTCCATTAATTTAATTGAACGCTTTCACAAATCCCCCGTCGAAACTAAAGCTACACTCTTTTCATTCATCTCTTTCGGAGACTCTGGCTGGAAAAGCCCCGGGGGGCAAACATTTTATATAAATACGACACGCATCTATATGTCTTCATAAGCGTTTTTTGGATATTTGCTTAATTGAGTAGCTGACAAATTCGTTGCTTTTGACAGGGATAGCTTTGGGCTTGAAGTTTTCAACTCTCAGCTTCGTTCCTCTAAAGATTGAAGACCCCAAAGCCGGGCGCGGTCTTTACCGCAAACACTTTTTTTTTTGGTTAACAAAACAGAGAACTCGAACTTGGAGTTTTATGCGTCGGAATGCTTTTTGTTGTATAGTTTTCGATCGATTCCGAGTGGTAAAAGTTTCACTGCTGGCACAGTGGATATTGCAGATAGATGCTGTATGTACACAGCAAAAAATTACTCTCATGTCTATGTTTATTAACCATGAAATGCTTATTTATAAAAATTATTGAGATACATAAACATTTTATGGGGACATTAAAGAATTTATGTTGAATATAGAGGCATTTAGCAGCACTTACTTTAATGCTTAAATTTTACAGCTAAGTTTATTTACCATTAAGCTTTTAAATAGTCTTAAGGATAAAATAATGTAAACAATATAATAAGTGAATGAAAGCAGCTATAAATTCTTTATAAATCAATAACTATATTAATTTTATACAAGGATTTTTATCTGTTATATTTATAAAAATATTTATATATCTTTGTAGAAAGACTTAAGATCATAAAACAAAATTTACCTTACGAAAAAAATGAATAAGGATAAGGACACCTCTTAGAATTAAATTAACCAAATTAGGTTTTGAAGGGTAAAACATATATATATTTATAATTGTGCTTTTAAATTAAAATTTTTTTACAACTAGAAATACTATAAAAATCCTTCAAATATTTTTTGGTTAGATATTTATTATATCTTTTTAACATTAGCATAAAAAAAACTTGTTAATTAAAATACCATTAAGCAAGACCTGCCTCTCCCTAATTATACCCTTGCAGGGTATTATAATTTCAGTCAGAAGTTTGCAACGCAGTGAAGGCGACATTTCCGACCCTATAAAGTATATATATTCTTGATCAGCATCAACAGGGGAATCTTTCTAGATATGCCAGGAAGAAATCGATTTTTTGGCCATTTTTGAAAAATTTTATAAGGGGTTCCATCATTAAAATTTTTGATTTTGATAAAAAATGGAATTTTCAAAATTTTTAAATGAAGTATGCAGATTTATTAACTGTGGAAAATCTTGCACAGAACAGTTTTTTGATTTAAAATTAATGCTCTTTTGGCCGAGTTATGATATTTTTAATTTAAAAAAAAATCTAAAAGTTTTTTAATATAAAAATAATATTTTTCTAAGTCAAGGAATCATCTCCGACCCCATAAACCATATATATTCTTGATCAGCATCAACAGGGGAATCTTTCTAGACATGTCCGGAAGAAATCACTTTTTTTGCCATTTTTGCGAAATTTCATAAGGGGTTACATCATTAAAATTAGCAAAAATAGCCAAAAATTTTGATTTCTTAAAATTTTAAATTTGGTATGGAGTTTTTTTAAATTAATAAAAACTAACACAAAACTGCTTTCCGAATCGAAATTAATGCATTTTTGGCTTAGCTATGATATATTTTAATTGTTACCTGCAAGGGTATACAAACTTTGGCTGGCCAAAGTTAGCTTTCATTCTTATTTTAATAATACAATAATTAAATTTTTTCCAAGTGCATCATTTCGAAAATGTAACGGTACCAACCAACACGTTTCCACTCAATTTGATGTCATTTGTGGCCATGGCTATGGCTGTGGCTTTTGTGGCCGTAAACGATCGATATTATTTGCCATAGTGGCATAGAAATTGAAGTCAGCCCCCCGAGTTGCACCTCTGGCCCCCCTCT